GCAGAGCGTCTGACGCTACGAGACGGCCTCACACCAGTCACTCTGCTTACTCCGCCCTTGTTCTTTGCAGGATGCGACGCTCTTGGTGATGATAGGCCGAGAATAAAGACTTCGTTGCAAGGCGTTTCAACTGCACTTGGACTTTTGAATACGCAACGAGCATTGGAAATACTCGAACAGTATTGGAAAGCCGATCCGGGTGTCGATGATGATCTAGCCGATCGGTCGTGGCCTAAGATCAGTCAATTTCTACCTTACTAATGCCAACATCCTTTAGAGAGAAAAATTGAGCATATAATCCATTTTTACTTCTATAGCTAAGCCCCAGTTCCCGTGTCACGATACATCGCACTCAGTCTCGGAAAAAAGCAAAAGGAAATAAAATGAGACAAGGCTTCGAGCTGTACAACCCTCCCACGACCCTAATGGGGTTACATTGCGAAAGAGTCGCTGCAGCGTTGATGGCTGGACTCAGCTCACACCCCTCCCACTGGGCCGCAGTCCGTCGGTGCAAACCCCAGCTCTGAGACGGCGCCCAAGGTGCCAAGAACATTCTCTAAAAGTTCAAAAGATACGCATACCAGGCTCTGAGTCCTGGAATAATAATTGGACAATATTGCACCGCAACCGCCGTGGCGTTTACTCAGTCAGCACCATGGCATCCATAACTTGGAAGCTACCCAACACCAGCCCAACCTTCCTTCTCGCCCCTTTTCGTCAAGCATTTATATAGATGATAGAGAAGCCGCAAATCTCTGCATTCCCTTTTCAACTTGCCCAGATAACGTTTCCATACAATGGATGGCTTCCCACTTCGCAGTATGACTGGCAGGGACCATGGTGGTCAACCTCATTTTGAGGGTCCCGGTAACGCCCGCCAAGTCTCCGACAACGTTCATGAGCGCTTGATAATGCCCAAGACAATGCATCTCTATCTAATGAGCAGCCCTGTGGCTTATCACGTGAGGACATGGCCAAGTGATGGCCTTGTTCTTCGTCTGGGGTACTGGAAGCAAGAAGAGACCAACAATATCACTCACGGCGTGAGATTCCTCCCCAGGAACGGCCCATTTGGAGCCGAGCAACCTACTCGACGGGAAGCTCACCATTCCTCTGATCTTGAAGAGGATTCTTACGGAACTGATATTGATCGTATTTGGAATATGTACTTGGTCGATTGGTATATCATCTTTACCACGACCATGGGCCTCGTGCTTTTGGTCGTCGCGGCCTATGCTTGGGCCATGAGCCTGATCTTCCAACCATTCAGGCTCACTTCAATGCTTTTGGGCACTTTGCAACGCGCCATCGCCTTCTCACTGCTTCCCGCGTTGGCGTACGGATTGTTCCATCAGACATTTCTAGCTGCAGATGTTTATACGCGTACGATGATCCCAATCCAGAACATGGCAAGTCCTCTGTCTGAGGAGGATCACCACTGGATATTTGGGCCAGGACACGAGACTTTGAAAGGGGCCACTGCGGCGAACAGCATGCTCCTGGATTACCTCACTCCCAATGTTATTGGCTGCATAGCTCAAGCCATCGAGCTCGGCCACCCAAAGATCATTCTTGGTGCTGTCTTGGCCACACTTAGTAACTCTGTTTACCTTGTAGTAGCCCGGATCTTCGACTTCAGCGAGGCCGAAAATGGCCATTACAGCGCTCATATTCATGCCAAGAGCTTTTACGCATCATCCGGCATCATGAGTATCTACTGCCTCAGCAATTGGGTATTGAGACCTCATAGTTCCATCAGGACTTGCAGACCTGTATATGGCCTTGTGGACTTTGTGTCTCTTGTTTACCGGAGCGATATCTTGCTATGTCCCGAGTTTTGGCTGCAAGATTCTGCAGATACAGAAGAGGATATGAATGCGCAGGTGACGCTAGCCAACAGGCTCTATCAGTATGGCATCTACCACGGAATAGATGAGCGTCGGCACGTCGGCATCGGCGTCGAATATGCACCACCGGCGCGGTTGCTAGATGATGAGAATATTTTGTGTCTTGATTGGTCTGTGAATCTAGCGAGAGCGGCGATCTCGTCCGGTATATATAGCGATGCTTGCCTCGTGAGTGCTGAAAACTTCATCACCAATGAACCTCAAGGCGATCCTCCCTTCGAAGGGTTCGGACGAATCAATATAGGAGCTGGCGCAGGAGAGCAAAGGAAATAATGAGTCTTGAATCTTGAAGTAGTAATAGATTAACCTGTTCGGGGGTCGACTTCATTTCGACTTTTAACTCAAAGAGAGAACAGTGATGCATGGTGACATGATGATCAAGTTATCAATGTGTTGCCAGCGTGCTGGCTTCTCGGAGCAACATCGTACATGTTCCAATCAACTCAGATCTGGATCCGATGGCCAGCAGTAAGAATGGGATTACTTGCAGGCCAAGTGAATCTGCACGCATTCTTCCCCGCTCCGAAACTTCCAACCGCCAGCCACTCGCAAGAAATCTACCTGATGGGGGGGGCCGTGCAGGTGGTACAAGGTGACGCAACCTACATACAAATCACGAAGCTGAGTCTCGACCTGTGCTGAGGAGAAGGCGTTGGGCTAATTGCACTTACATATTTCATGTCAAAGGCACCAGGCTGGGAAACAAAAACGAGATAACCGTTACGAAAGGCGGACATACGTTTTGTATCACGACACAACGCATCTCTTCTAGCCAAGAACACGGGTAACCGTCAAGCTTGGCTGTAAGGTGCTATCCAGATCAGGCTGTGCTAGCACACACCACGACCAGGATTATCTGCAGTCTGACAGCCAAGCCTCCACACCCCTTTCATCCCATTCCCTCGGTCACGCGAATGAGGCTCTGTTGCTATCCACCAAAAGCTTTGTACTGGTCGCTTTCCGTATCTTTCTCGCCAGCCGTAGTTTCACCAACACCATCGTTTCCCGTCTTGCATGGACCTTTTGCCCAGAGCCGATTCTCGCCTCTCACAGCCTCATTTTACTTGGCACCTGACGATGCACAGGGTCTCGACCAAGTCATGGCCCAGCCATCACATCTCGTATCCGCGGCCAAGTCATCCCGATCTCGAGGAGCGAGTCTTGTTGGTAAAAGGCGGTCGACTTGTTCAGTGAGGCTTCTATCGGATGCGCCACATTCTAGTCTGGAGTTCAAAGGCAGGCCGTGTCTTAGCTGCATAAGCTGAATAGTTGGGGCGTTTTCGATGTCACAAGCAGGAAGGACTAGCAGCAATGCTCCATATAACCACCTGGTCTGTTTCAAGTCAGTCAGCTTGGAGGATATTTTGACTTTTTTATTGAATCTTTTACTATTGGACAATGTTGCACCGCAACCGCCGTGGCGTTTACTCAGTCAGCATCATGGCATCCATGGACAGCATACTGGCCTTGTCTCGATATTAGCTCGATAGGACCCGAGAATCTAGTGATTAAATATTTTACTTCTAATTAAGTCCTTGAGAGGGAAAGTCTTTATTATTCGAAACTCATAATGCAAGAAAGCTGAGGCCTATATTTAAATCCCATATAACTTTACAACTCTAACTCCAGGATATAAGAAAAGTGCTCCGTAGGGGAATTCCTCTAAACCACGCCCATTCGTTAGCGAAAAGACCAAAAATACCCAGTCTTAACTATCCCCATCAATGCCCTTTCCGCATGGCAAAGACGCTCAAGAAGATACTCCAGCCGAACCCAACACAAACTGCCACCAAAACTCGAGAGCGCACGGGAACCCATAGGAAGTTGCAGATGGCGACTAATGGCCAGATATGCCAGCCAGCTTTGATAAGTGGCCAAAGTCGATTACGGATTACTTCCAGAACGAGGAAGGGGTGTGAAACACGTGCGATGTTTGTGCAGATGAGAAAGACGGACCCGCTGATGGCAAGACCAATTGTTTGATCAAGAATCAGCTTCGCCAAAACGTTGCGCCAAATAAGATCCGGACTGATATTGAACCATCTCCTAGTCGTTCCTCTCGTATCATCATCCTTCTTCTCCTCAACCTGCTTTACGTCCGCCTGAACCTGCGGCAGGATTTCGTTCGCCCTGATTGCGTGTCCAGTGGGGAAGCAGTCCTCCAGAATGAATTGGATGACGTTGCCGACCTGAGAGCCTATGAACCCATAGATAGCAAACTCCAGTACCTGCTGAGCATCAAAAGTCGATACGCCTGGTGTTCTGTAGTGAATAATGATCTGGGTGACCAGGTTTGCTGAGACCTTGATAGCTGTTGCCTGAAGGGCGAGGCGGAGATTGAGGGCGCGGACCATGGTGCGATGGCCCTGGGGACAAAGAGAGGGGGCCTATTACGTAGTCATGAGAGAGAGGGACAAACGAGTGAATGAAAAAGTGAGGCGGGTACAGGGACAAGGCTGATGGTGGTGGATGTTGGATGTATGTATTGGATCTGATCTGGAGACGAGAGATGACCAAAGATGATTAGTGACAGCCTGGCTTGTGCAAGGTCCCCCCTACATTTGACGAATGAGAACAGCTGTCCCTTTTGTGGGTCACGTAGCAGCCAATTTCAGCGGGGGCTGAGAATGAAGGGCACTGGTATTATCTTCGTTCCTTGGGGTTGCACAGCATATTTAAGACAAATGCTCGATGAATTCGTGCTGTTGAAACATTTGCGCGCTTGGCATCGATAAATTCCATGACAAGTTCGTGATTCTTCTTCTGTGGGGTCCAAGGCTGGTGGTTGGGAGGGGGACGCCCCGCCAACTGTAAATGCGCCTGAAATGTCCATTGATAACACGTGAATTTGTGTCTGAAACCCAATGACACGCTGAAGGTCACCGATTAATTCGCTCTGAAACGGGAAAAATATTACAAAGCACTCAATACCGAACTGTTAATAAATAAGGTTACAAACAATTGAGAGTCTGGCACCTAATCCCTCTAGCCATCAATTGATGTCCCGGGTAGGTGAGACGCGCAAAAAGACATCCAGTCACAAGCAATGGACGGCAAAAAATGTGGATAATGGTGGAATCAAACCACCAACGTTGGACGAACAGGGAATCGAACCCTGGACCACTCCCAAATAACGCTCGTAGAGAACATGCTAAGGGAGTATTATACCACTAAACCATTCGCCCGAATGGATGATGAAATGGCCTCAACCAGCGTCTACATCGTGCTGCTGACATTGGTGGGCCCAAGCTTTACAGCAGGTCCATAGTAGTTCGCCGTAATGATTGACAATATCTCATCCAGATAACCATATATCAAGACAACAGATTAAAAAATGCACCTTGAGATATACAATCCTAAGCCGCGTAGCCCCTCGTCTGCACCAAGTAGATACTCTCAATAATTACGCCAATAATCATGTGCTCCTTTCCGCGGTCACAGATCCACAGTTGTGTAGTTCTACTTGCGTGCCTCCTCCGGCGCCAGCAATAGCAAGGGGCTTCCTCAAATCGTCTCTGATCTTCCACGATACACAGAGAAGGGTCTCTGAGATGGGTCTAGTGGGGGCATGTGTGGGCGACTTTGCTCCCTGAAAACGAAGTTGCCGAGTGTTATCAACAGCTTGATCAACACTGACAGTAATCTTCAAGCACAGCTTTAAGGCACAAAGACCATGTAAATACAAATATTCTGAAGTGTCTTTAGAAGTCGGAATCTACACTCAATGGCCCATAACAGGCTCAAAGTCAGTTGAAATGTACTATTCGTAACTTCGTATTGTGCCATTGAGAAACTTGCTCGTGCATGTTCCTGAATTGTGGTGGACAGAGTCCTCAAACAGACTCACGGCGAGACCCCTTACGAGCTCCGCGTCAGGGCCTAGGTGTAATTAGAGGGCGGTTTGTCGAAGCAAGCCATTGTTGAGATGGCTCATAGGGACGATAGGATGGTTACTGCTTGGAGGGATCCTTGGTAATGGATGAATCTTATTGCATATCATCTGCAAAGAAGGCTTGGGGTTTAATAATCCTGTAACTAGCACCTTAGTTCCTAAAGACCAAAACAAAATCTCCATTCTCAGTGCGGCCTCTCTGTGACGACTATGGTTGATACTAAAATGACTCATGTCGAGAATGAAATTTCAGTAGAGGTACATGTCTTTTACTCCCTATTCAACAGAAAAAAAAACATACAACAGCAGGTATTCGCTGGTCGTCTCCGACCCAACTACTAATCCGCCCCTTGCGGGCTTGACTAGGGGAGAGCAGACGGGATCCCGTACTTTACCGCAGGTATGGTCGTATGTGGTTGAAGGCATCGTGAATGGGGCTCAAGTTGGTGCCTACGTGGTTGTTTGCCAAAGACGGTGGAGAGGAGGACGAGGAGGTGGGGCTCCACTGGGTAATAAACTACTAAGCAACATTAACACAAAGTAAAGTCTTTTCGAGTTCGCCAGGCAAGTTAAGGTTGGAATGTGCACTGACAAGGCCTTGGATCGTTTTTAAAACAAGCAAATAATTTGATATTGACTCGAAATACTTGCATGTGCCTAGTCTGGTCAAAGAACCTCAGCAATCGGTGACGCTCAGCTGTCACAACTGGTTATGAATTTGCCCAAGCACTATTAAACGGCTACTCGATCCTATAGCTCCTCAAACTTGCTATCGCAGATATGTCAGACTTCTTGCTAATTCAAGCGCTTCACAGGACCATCCACATTGCCATGATACCCCCTAACAGCCCACCGACGGAACCCGGCGTCTTCATGTTCGAATCATTGCCCGTCTGAGAAGAACTCGCCGCAGAGATCGTTTCCGAAGTCGTCTGTTCAGCACTTCCCCTGACGGTTGTCTTGGAAGCCGTGTCTTTGGCGCTATCACCAGTTGAAGTTGCGGACGACGCATCGTCAGTAGCCGATGCCTCTACACCATTCAGGTACCTCGAGCTTGCACTCTTGACTCGCGAGTCATAGTCTGATGCCGAGACAGGAATGGTGGTGTAGCAGCTCATTGATTTGGGTTCCCAAGAACTGCCTGTGCAGATTGGCCATCCTTCACAGGTGCTCAGGTCGAGCTTGCCGCCAACGCAGCAATACGCTTTGTTATTGGAGGGATTATTGAGAACACCAGGACAGTTCTGGTTGTTTTCACCAGTAATGGTCGTTGTCAGTGCTAGGATGCCTTGGAACAAGCATGCGAGGCTAATCGAAGAGAGAAGCATGATGGATTTTGATAAAGAGGTGACAGATGGTGCTTCAATTGGACTCAGAGTGGAATGCTCAACGCTGCTCGAGAACTTCGGTATGCTGAATTTGTCATCTTCAAAATGCGGAAGCCATCGTTACTTATATACGCTTGGATCCTGGTTTGAGGCTTGTGGCTTGAGGCCATTTTGTCAGCAATGTTCCAATCAGAGGAACTCAGTGTCGTCGCCCCGCATAATCGTGGATTTGTCTGAACCAAGGAATTCGTATTTACACTTTCGATGATGATTCTCGTCTTAAAATCTTATGATGTAACGCTTTTACTTTGTTCAAGTCAAAGCTACAGACGAATTGACCTTTCTGGACACCAAGCTGAGACAAGTCCCGGCATCTGCCAGCCGGTATCCCCCCAACGATGAATCTAGCCATATATGGTATTTCAGGGAGACACCCCTGCGATCCTTCAATGGAGCAAACCTTAACAGAGGCCAGCTCGGCATGCTCAGAAGGGTAAGCGACAGGTATCGTGACGTAAATGTCTCAAACTCTTGGGAGCTAAGTGATTGTCAAAAGTCCCTGAAGAGCAATAAAGGGTCCTGATTACCCCGACGTTATGGCTGTTGATCGACATTGCAACAAGATCTTTAATGGGATGTTGGCACTCTCGGATACCCTACGATGATTCAGCTGAGAAAACGACGTGCCAATTGAGATTTGTCAGTGGCTGTTTGCCCCTACAGTTCTAGAACCTCCACATCGTCAAGCGAATCCCTCAATAGCTCCACGCGTTCAGAAGCCACTTCCCCCCCAAACTAACTGCATCCGTAGCATGGCGTCCTAGCGTCTGATCGCTTTCCCTACGGGGTATTTCAACACCTTGCCCCCGTCCAACCTTTACCCTTCCTGCAGCCAAGCTTTGTCTTTCACAGCCCTACGAACCCGACACTGTGGTTTTGGTTCCGATCTAGCCTGTTTTCTATTCCTGTTTATTAATATTTTATATACTCTGTTTCATTTGTTACGCGTCTCCACATGACTCGACACGGAAGACGTATAAAACGGTGCGGCACTTGTGTTGAGCGCAAGGTTAAATGCGGTATGTCGGTGTCGAGAGTTGAGTGGTTCGATGGAACTGACTATTGATAGATGAGCAGCAACCCTATTGCCAACGATGCAAAAATGCAGGTCTTACCTGTTCGGGGTATCATAGTCAACTAAAGTTTGTCGACGAGGGGGCTCGGTTCGCTTCGACTACTGCTTGTCCTTCTCAGCCTGTTTCGAAATCTGCGATATCACAACGCAGTCGTCTCGCCAATGGCATAGCTTCAACAAAATGCCCAAGGAATCCCAAGCCTCAAATAGTCAGCCTAGTACCGCAGAAGAATACTCTGTTCTTCCCCTACACTTTGTCAAAGCTATCACCAGAAGACTTGCGCTGCGGGCCAGGACTGGGTCCAGGAATACTTTCAGAACTACTGACGGGCCAGCACTCGGAACTACATCAATCATGCGTACAGGCATTGGCCGCGATGTACTTTGGAAGAACGAACCGGGATAGAAATGCCTGTGAACAAGGGCTACGGCTGTACTCTCATGCACTGACTCAGCTCCGGACGGACATCAGCAACTCAAATACCGAAATGGGCACCCTAATGAGTATCATGTGTCTTTGTGTGTACGAAAACGTCGTGTTTTCTCAACCGACTGCTTGGCTCCTTCATTATGATGGTCTAGGGAGATTGGTAAGTCCTTTCACGGCGAAACTTTGACCTTTTGCTCACCCGGACTCCTAGATGCAAGCGCGAGGCCCAAAACCGTGGAGAACGCCAGCAGAAAGGCAAATACTACAAGCGGCACGGTACTACATTGTCAGTTTTTATCACCTCACGGAACATTAGTAAGGAGTCACTGACTGGATGCAGACTCTCTCCGCCGGTCATCAACGCCGCCATTGTTTCCTCGACCAGCCGCAATGGGAGAGCACAAGATGCCTCCCGGAAGGTGAAACTCCAGATAAGATCGATATCCTGTACGACATCTTCGCTCAGCCGCCTGGGATCATTGCGGATTACGACAATATACGGAAGGCGAGTGTGACGGACCCTGTTGCAGTTGAAGTTCTGCGGAACAGGACACAATCGCTCATCGACAAACTGCATGAATGGTACCGCGACATGCCATGGGTATGTACCACTGATCCAACCATGAGAGAGCACAGTGGCATCCCCCTTCCGGATGACCCCATGGAATGTGTCGCTCTCGCAATCAGCTACGCCATGCTTTTATGTCTTGTCCAGCCTTGCGAATACCTGGGCATCTCACTCTTTCCGGAGAGCAGTATGGAGGCGACAAGCAATATCGATCAAAACTCGAAAAACAAGTTCTTGGCCCTGGAGATTTGTCGCTTCGCAAACTGGGCACTTCGTGGTCAAGCTTCGGCGAGCTACGCCTTGCTGTTAGTGTATCCACTTCAAATAGCATGGTTCTGCGTGCAGAATAGTGAGGAGGACCTCCGTAATGTTAGAGTCATAATGAACTCGGTTGTTGCGGATTCGTATGGCTTTGAGTTGGGGAGGATGAGGCATTGGGATGAGACTAGTCTGGATCAAGGCCGGTATGGCTTTTTGTATTAATGATAATCGTATCGATGGCGGGATGAGAAAAATACTACATGAAACATCCCGATGATGATAAAAGCGAGCGTTGTTGCGCATTGTACCGTTGAGCTGACATGGTGCTTGGTAATTATCCGCTGGCCTGGCTCTGGGGTTGCGTCGATTGCTCAACTGGCGCGCTTGGATATCTACGCGCCTTTGCCATATCGACACCAATTGATTGGTTACAGGAAACATGACATTTCAAAGCATGCGGCTCTGCTGATTGCCCCCCAAACAACATCGACGTATGTGGCTGTATCGCCAAACCTGACATGACCCCTGTAATGTCGTCAATCTATTTCCCCCTTTGCGTGGCGATGCACAACACAGCAAATGCTCAGCCCTAGGCTACACCACACCACAAAAAAGATCAACGAAGCAGGCCATCTCGTTCGGAAATATGGCAGGCTTAGCCCCCCAGCCAAGGCAACTCCGTCGGAGACGGAGGTCTGGTACTGATTAACCAGCGTGTTTGACTGGTTTCACTAACCTCAAGATCCACTGATCCTACAAGGCTGATATGCAGCCTTGCTTACGCCCAGCTATCTTATACACATTTGGAAATCGCGCTTATGGCCCGAAACAGTCCAATGGAGCGCCCATGTTGAGGTCAGCGGGCGTTCCCCGCCCAATTTAATTTCACGGCCAATTTCTCTCTTTTCGGCTGACCTGGCGTTATTATAATAACTTTATTCCCTTCTTTCCAGATGCAGGCGCGCGTGTAGACGCTGAGTTACGAAAATGTCGGAAAAGAGACCTATTAAGCGACTCGTGGTGTTGGTAGACGGAGTTGAGGCTCGGGAAACCAAGAGTGAGCATTTGCCTTGGCGCCAGGATTGTTGCTGATGGATGACAGAGGAGACGAACCCTTCAACGATTCAGAGGATCAATCAATTAGTACACGATGGGCTAGTTGAGTCGAATGGGGTTTCTGTTGCGCAGATTCCCAAGTATTATGTTGCACCCAGCAATGTTGTCAAGTTGACCGACATGTTCCGATCACGGAGCACGACAAGTGATGACTCGACAAACCTCATCAAGACCATTGTCAGGGACATCTGTCTCACGCTTGAGCGGCCAGAAGATGAGCTCTGGTTGTACGGTTCTGGGCACGGAGCCTTCATCGCTCGCGCAGTTGCTGGCATCGTGCATCGAATGGGCCTGCCAACAACGCAAAGTTTCGATGATCTGTTTGATACAGCTCTTGGCCTGATCAAGGCTCAACTTGAGGATGATTTCAAGCGAGGCCCCGTACTACTGCAGAAGATCAAGAATGAAGCGCAAGATCCTCCTCGGATACCGTTTGTTGGTCTTTTTGACACCATCATTCATAACTCAAAGACATCCTACGACATCTCGTTCAACCCTTCTATCGAAACTCTTCGCCATGCGCTGGCTATCAATGAGAACAGGTCCAATAAGGCACCGGAAGTGGTCAACATTCCTGACGATGCGGACATGACACACAGGTCACTTACCCAAGCATGGTTCCTCGGTACACACGAAGATATGATCGGCGGAACGGCTCACGACGGTCTTTCACTCTACCCGCTACAGTGGATGGTTTTGGAGAGCATCTACTCTGGCCTCCGTGTCAACAATATGGGCGACTCAAAGGCTAGCGATAATCCCATGGCTTTAATCTTCCCGCAATACGCTGGCAACCTTCCGCCCTTGGACGGATCAGAAGAGATCGAATGGCGGCTCCAATACACCAATGGCCTTCGAACAAGCATGTTTGATCTTCAGAGTATGCATGCAAAGAAATCGGCAGGCGGCGTCGAGACCCACTCCATCAAACTTGATACGGATTGCTACAAACATGCAGCAAACCGGAAAGTTTTTGCTGCAGATGGAAGCTTGAAAGGATGGTGTGACGTTGGTAGGTACTCCGAGTTTGCCAATCTGTACCCAACTAACAAATCTAGGACCGTATGGAAACATGATTCATCCCTCCCTTTTCTGCATTCTTGATAGATACCCCAGATATAACGACCTAAAGAATTTCCAACCCCTCAAGAAGCCAATCTCAGACTTTCAAGACTCTTACCTTGTTGCCGCAGAAGATGGGTTAGCTCCATGGCTTCAAGGGATGCAGCTCGAAGCAAGCGGCGTCAAAGCCTTCCGAATTCTAGTATGCGGCAAGACTGGCGTTGGCAAATCGACATTGATCAACAAGGTCTTTGGTGTTGAGATGACGGATGAGTCTCTTTCATATGATCAGGGAGTCCATGACATCAACGTCGCTTTTGAATCCCCCAAGCATCCTGGACTCTTGATCCATGACTCAAGGGGTTGGCAGGCCGGTAGTGATACTGAGCTTGAATTGATCGCGAAGTTCCTTCGGCACAGAGCTTTTCAGGAAGACCCTGCCGAAGCTCTTCACGTCATTTGGTCAGATACTCTCCTTTATCAACGAACATTAAGTTAACGCGATCTTAGGTTCTGTGTCGACGCCGACGTGGCACGTATCGAAGAAGCCGATAAGCGAACCTTTGCCACCATCGCCCAATACTCCCACCAAGTCCCCGTTTTCGTGGTTGGAACAAAGAAGGACAAACTCACTGGCTATCGAAAAATGCAGTACTTAGAAGAACTCATGGAGAAGACAGACGATTACAAAGAAGCCAAGCGACTCGCTGAAGAGAAAGCCAATGCCGTTGCCGAGGAACAGTTCGCCAAGCTGAGGAACCAGCTTTCGCAGATCGAGCACTACAAAGCTGACGGCTTCTGCTGTCTTTCAAAGAGTGAGTAGCATCCAGTTGTAAGAGTTATGAGAGGGCGCTAACTGTAATAGATGACGACGCCGGTGTCAAAGACCTACTCTCACAAACCCTCGGCCTGATCGTCGACGAACGCGTACGTCTCTTCTGTGTTGCCGCTCAAGTCGTTGATGTTGAACAGAAGATCAACTCAGCGATAACAGAGTGTATGAGACTAGGAACCCATGCAATCCGCACTGCCGCCGTTCCCCTCCCCTGCACAGGGTTGGTCGGAACACCGACCGTCTCACGCCTCATCTGCGAGCACGTACTCCAATGCTTCGGCTTTCCCAAAGCTGCGCCAGCAGAGATCGAGCAGATCATGTCGGATATCGTCATGAGCAACTTTAAGCAGTACCTCCGGGTTTCTCTGTCGCAGTTTGCGGCTGTTAGTGCTATTTCGGTTGGTGCTGCGGTCCCGACTATGGGAATTGGTATCATTGTTGGTGCGGCGGGCTGTCTTTTGGGACTTCCTCCTACAGCGAGGATGTTGCTCAAGTGCTCGTGCGATATGATTCTTATCCTCGAGCGGTCGTTTAGATACGATGGAAAATATGTTTCTATCAAGCAGATCGAAGATGCAGCGAAATACTACTCGAAGACAACAATAACGACGTTCAATGGGAAAGAGAAGCGATTACAGCAGCAAGTTCACGATGAACTGGACCATCTCATTCCACTGAAGAAGGTCAACATTGGCTTCAAGTTCAACAAGCTGAGATCATCTATTGAAGAGATCATCTATAGCAATCGTTTTGGCAACCCACCAGACTACACTTCTCTGCGAAGCCCTTCTAGTGTCGGTCTGGACTTGCAGCCAGGAGGACCTGTCGAGATGGATGCCGCACCCACAATATCAGAGCTGCCTGGCGATGATGTCGACTACTCGCAATTACCAAAGTCAGACGAGAAGTCTGATCGGCTACCACTTCTTGAGCTCGATTCAACTGAAGTCGGCGCAAAAGAAGGACATGTTTCGATGGCATCAAACACTTCAGGAACAACCGCACAAATTGGTCCTTCACTTGCAAACAAACTTGTCGAGCTTCACGTTCAACCGCCTGAACTTGAGGGCAATGCACCGGGTGACGTGAGACAAGACTCGTTGGAAGTTCCGCCACCGGCGACGAGAAGTAAATCTGACTCCTCTGCGTCCAAATGGTCGAACAAGCTGTCATCGTGGAAGTTGAGTCGGAAGTCAAAGACGCTAAAGCAATGAGTGAGCGGAGGATCTGGTGTTTCCGCAGTTCGTTTTGGGTTTTAGGAGATACCCATGATGTTGGATGATCGTAGAACTGTCCTTTCTATTGGGTACTCATGTCTGCATGTATTTTATGTAATGTATGAAGAGAGCGATTAGAAATCGAATCACGTTGTCATGATAACACGAGTTGACCGTTGTGTCAGGATGAACTTTTCTCTATTGCTCTGTATTATATTCAAGTCTGTGTTTGCTTCCAGTTTTAATGCGACTGACTGCTGCCTCATATCCAGTCATCCTATATACTCCTCGCAATGGGCATCTTGCCCTGACTCAGCTGGTTTCCTCCTGTATTGTGAAAGCTGCCATTGTTTCTCAAGGGAAGTACCGGTAATAGTCGTTCCACCTGGCACAGAAATACACAATCTGGCATCGAGTAAGTTGCAAACATGCTTCAAAGAGTCTGCAGCGTAAGATCCTGTCCATGAGCGATATGTCGAGCATAGCACAACTTGTACTGGATCTGCACCAGAGACGACATCGGGCATTAGTCCATGACTTCGTTCCCAGTCTTGTAGATGGAAGGTGGTCGTGTACTGCGATACTTGATTAGCTTGTTTGAATCGGCATACATATGGAGAATTTCTCACCTCATTTAGATTTAATTTTACTTCTTTACCGAGGATCTTGCGGGTGGCTTTGTGAGCATCGTCGTAGAATTGGCCATTGCCCTTCTTACTGTCACTAATAGGTACGGAAGAAGGAATATCCCAGAAGAAGCTGATGCCAGTCTGGCGCAGCCATGGGACATCTTTCATGCGATCTTGGTGAATCAAAATGCAAACAACAATCCCAGACAGCGGCGAGCCGTTGCATCTTTCATTGAACTCCCGCGAAAATGAGTGTGTTCGTAGTACTTCTAAGATGCTTCCGAGAGACTTTATCAACTGGGCATTGATGACCTCGCGCTTAAACGTTGACTCATTGTGCAAATTCAAGCCGATGACAAGCTCAGTGCGACCCCTTTGGCGGGGTGAATAGTCTAGCTTTTGGAGATCTGTAGCTTGACCTGCGAGGGCGGTATGTCTGATGTATGACGTCTCATATTGATCAGCTGGTAGCTTTTGATAAATGTCGGGTGTAACGGGAACATCTACTACCCAGCACGCCGTCTTGCCCTGTGCGGGATATAAATAAGGGTTGAGCAATTGTCGCGGTCTTTGAGGGCAAGGGTTGGAGTAGTTGTTCAGCTTGACACGACTTTGTTGAGAATTGCTCACGATTGTTGTAGCCTCTGACTGCATGCTCATAGATGAGCGCTTATCAGAAGTGGGCATGCTGGACATGGTACTCGCCGTACTGAGAGAAACAGGCTTCCTTGCACTGACGGACTGATAAGTCGGCAGAGTTGGCTCAGTAGGCGGTGGTCGGTCCCAAGACGTAGTTTGGGTATTGTGGTCGACGTAGTAGGGTCTCCCATCTGGTGTGTGCATTTCCTGCCATCCAGGTGGCAGCGAAGCAAGTGCGGGAGCGATAGGTTTAGTCCATGACGTGGTTTGATCGTTGTGGTTGACGTAATAAATCTGTCCCTCCGGAGTTAGTCGACACTCCCATCCTGTTGGAAGAGGAGTGAAAGGATCCGAGGCAGCATTGTGTGGTATAGAAGCCTGGGGGCTGATTTGTGTCATTGGCGTAGGATCGACCCAAGGTAACGTCGCTTGGACTTGGGGTTTTTGGTGAGACTCGGTCTGGGCCGTTTTTGCTGGCATTGATGATGGGGACATAGTAGACTGTGATTGTGGTGATGCAGGTGGAGAGCTGAAAACTCTAGGTGATTGAGGAGAGCTAGGAGTAGGACATGATGTTGCTTGTGGAGTCGTAGCTTGTTCCTTCGCTGTGGTAAAAGGCACCGAAACCGACACCATGTGAAGCGTATCAAGTCTTGCAGCCAAAAGTGCCGTCGGATCAGGATTCCGCACAATAACATCGGGGATACCTCTGATATTGTACTCATTCCCAGATTGTGCCATACAAAACTTTTTCGTTGAGGACTTGAGCTTGATTTTAGACCAGTCAAGGTCTGAATCCAAAAGCACCTTAAAAGTGACTCCATTCAACCCCTCTAGCCAAGATGCCAACGCCCCAATATGCTCATCCTGCAGCAAAACTGCCTCTCCGGGTCGGAGGTCAGCACGCTCGCCGATAGTCCACGCGTACAGAAACCGCCCGGGGTCCAGCTGCCAAGTCATGATGGGTGAAGTGTCGTGGCCGACGTTGGCATAAATGACTGAACCGCCATACGTAGCAAAGGGCATACTCCATGTATTGATGCGAATTCCGTCGTTTGGCGGTAGTGGCTGTGGATATCCGACTTTCTCAATCTGTTTGAAGATATCCGCAACAACCGCAGCCTCGGCTTTCAAAGTTTTCTTGTCATACTTCTCATAGTACGGTTCGCTGTGTCCAATGCGAGAAGGCGATTTCTTGAGCAATTGAAAAGGGTGAGGGACACTCTTCAGATAGGCTATGGCCTGGTCGATGTCTAGATTCCAATAGGTCGGGTTCTCAGGGTTGCTCCAGTTTGTGTCGTTCATAACTCCGCAGCCATATCCGTAGTAGATAGGCATGGGATGACAAGCCGCGCAGAACATGAAGGCGCAAGCAATGAGATACTGAAGAATGGGATCAAGACGCTCCAACTCAAAAGTGAGAGCATCCTCGGAAATGTCCATCGCAACCTTGACAGCTGCGAGGGCCTGTGGCAAAGCATCGTAATTGATCACGTCAAGCGCCATCAAACGTTGGCCCAAAGAGGCGAAGACCAAGTAGATCTCATCTACGCCGGCGCCTCTTCCACTCGAGCTTGAGCCCTGTCCTTCTTCACGTTTGTTCCTTTGGCGCAATTCCCACCATGTCGCGATACTTGCACCGGCTTTGACGACTGAGATGCCGATCTCTATTGAAGAGGTGATTGGGTCCGCCATGGTGGATTAAAGCAAAAGGCGTTACCACTGCTATGCTGCAAGTCCATCGGGGTTGGGTTTCTTTATAACATTTGGGCAACTCTTCAGCTAGCGATCGATAATGTACTGTACTTCATCAGATGATTCCTTTTAGCTGGTGGTCTAGTTGGCTCGATTGTAACCCTCCAATCCAACGTGGCGTTCGATAGCGCCAGCGCTAGATCTGCCTGGAATAGCCGCCCATGGATTTGGAGTATTTCAATTGAAACTGATAAGATCTTTTAGCCTATCAAGCGTTGCACATCATATGAACCCTGCATTCAGCTTCAAATACAGGAACGAGAAAATGTGCCTTATGTGCCGGCTGAGCCGGAAGTGGTGAGTAGGACGAGAGCATTACTGGTCGTTGTAGAATTCAAAACGCCTGTGCATGATAAATTGAGTTTCATTAGTTAGAGGTAGCCTCTGGGTTTAAGGTCTCATTTAAACAAAAATGGGCTTCTTTATGCTTATTTAACTAAGGCCCAAGTCGAGAAGTGTATATCCAGAGAGTAATACAAAATATACGTTGAATAAAAAGCTGTTGATGGATAAGCAATAGAGACAAACCTCTATATACTTGTCTCATCAACATGCACAGGAAACCGCCTCCCAAGTAAATTTCGCCATCTCGTTGCCTGGAGTTCTGTCGCCGAGCTGAGGCCTAAAGTCATCATAGAATCGGACGTCGCCCCACGGGAGCCACCAGTCATACCGCAACGGAGTGAATGAAAGACCATTTCTGTTATCCGTGCTACACGAAAGCACGCCGGAGCAGACGTCATTGGGGTCCTTTTGGCAGTAGAGGGCTTCAGCGCCATCTGGGTTCGGGTTGCTACCAGGAGTGCCAAAGATGATATTGTTCGAGTTTCGGACAGCGGCGACAAAACCACCCCGGGCGTAAGGGTTTTGTGTGATCAAGCGACCCGTTTCTGACAGGCACCATGTGTCTAGGACAAGGGAGGGGTATCCCCCGTTACCTGAAATGAGCGAGTCGGGATCGTTTGAGTTGTATTTTAGATACTGCCCATCAGTCCATTTGGGGCCGTTAATTCTGATTTTGAAGCAATTGCCCGACTTTTCAGATGGCGAGGAACATGCTCCAGCTGTCCAGGTATTGCCCACAGGTCCAGCACCAATATATCTGTATTGATACGGATTCTCAGTGTAGAACTTTACGTTTCCGCCGGGTCTGGCAACCGTTGTCGTGGCCGTGACGGTGGCTGTTCCAACACCAATCGTCGTAGTCACCGGCTGCGTCACCGTCTCCGTTCCAGTGGCGATCTGCTTACAAGCAAATGAGATCTTCTTGCTATCCCAGTCCTGTACCAGCCCCGGCGTATAGACTGCTCGAGCAGCAAGTTGTTGTGTGGCGTCGCGCCTTTTCAATCCCGAGTGATCAAAGGTAGCGGTCCGTTCAAGGGTGATGATAGTTCTTGCGTTCCACTGAGGCCAACCGGTCCGATCAGAATAGCTAGTTATGGTAACGACAACATATTGTGCTGTAGCTGGAACCCAGCTGGTTACATATTCGGTAGTCGCGGTTGACCCGCTTGTCGATGTGGCAGTCGAGATAGAGGTGGTGCGAGGCGGTCTGTAATCCAAATAAGACGTACAGAAGTCGCCGGCAAACTCAGACAGCTCGGCAATATCCTCAGCCGTGGGTATCATATCAGGTGCCTGAAAACATTGATTCAATGTGCGACTGGAGCCACTATACAATGTATCGTAGACGCCATTACGAAGTTTCATCATACTCTCGGTAGACATGTAGGTGCTTACGGCCAGCTTGTTAGCCGACCACTGGCCCTGGGGCTCGTCTGAGTAGCTCGACTGCATTGTAACAAGTGTCTGCGATGAGATCGCTGGCTTAAGCCTGACCTGGTTGTAAATATCGATATCGAACTCGACACCCCAGCGGACATAGGGTATGAGCGAGACTCCGCCAGAGGTAGTAAAAACAGGGTATGAGTAGGTGACCTGGGGCTCCCAGCCTTTCTTAGACTGAAGGGTTGGCCCAACTCCGTTGGAGATATCCAAGTTGGCTTGAGCATTGAGTGAAAAGGAAGCCCCCGCACTGGCAACGCTGACGGCAGATGCCGTCTTCCATTTGATGCCAAACTCATAAAGCACCTTGGACCTGATTGAATATGCTCCCTTCTCTTTGATTGTCTCGAGCGGCGCGGCTTCAAATACCCAGTTCTACTGAGGCTCCTAAGACCTAATATATCAGGAGAGCAATCAAAATATATTATATCAATAATATAAACTAATAGTATCTAATTAACCTTTTATAAAAGCTCGATATAATACATTGAGTTTTTATTATATTTCTAGATTAATATAATATAGACTACTGCCTGATCCCTTAGAAGGGGTAGTAAATAGCCCTCTTAGGCTTGTAATATTATATAAGGCTTCCCCTCCCTCCGTCGCCGCGTAACCTCCCTATACAACCGACCTAGAAATCACGATATTCACCATGTCAAAGTACCTATGACCAACGAACAGATCTAAACTCCTACCGATCTTGCGCATTTGCGCAGAACTTACTTTCGCCAAGCAACCATTGGTCACAGGCATGGCGACATGGATGGTAACCCCTTGTCTCCTCTCCGAGCGCATTTGCGCAATCATAAGATGCTAGGTAGCTGCAAGGGCCTTTGCAAGTAGCTCAGAGCGCCCAAGGCAGACTCCGACCTCCATATCACTTCACGGGCCGTGGACGAATTGGCGAGTGCTGCATGTCGCACTGAGTCTCTTGTCTGCGTGGAGTATCAAGGCGGGTGGGTATCATGTACGATTCTACCAAGTTCGCGAAGCGGGCTCGTGCTTGGCCTTTTACTTGGGCTTGAACTGCTCTTGCGGTAACGATCCCCAAACCGAGGGCTTTTGGTCTACCACTTGGCCCACCGCAACGAAGGCGAGGAACCAACTGAGTTCTTCTGTCCAATAATGCGTCAGACGCCTCGAGACTACTGGTGGTCAACAAACAGAGCTACTACGCGAACCTCGGACTGAGTTGTCCTGCAACCTTGTTTTGTTCGAAACCCGAGTCACTCACGACACAGACAGCGGGTTCTATTTTCCGTTTTCCCTACAAAGATTTGATTGGTCTGGTGTTGGAACGGATGTCTGGGTTCCGGGAGCTGATTGCATCCTCTCATCATGCGAGGGGCCGCTGCCAGCAACTAGGCTAGAGTCCATGGAGAAGTACACCTGAATATCTAGGGATATGAGTGCGATGCTGCTCACCTTCTCGATGGAAAGACAACAACCCGCAGGTATCACCAAAGCTTAGGATAGTTGGACCGTACGAGGGCATCTTGGCTGTAAGAGGCTCTTCGAGGAGCGGCAAGAGGTCGCGTCCAAAGTTGTTGAAGAGAGTTAGAATATTATTTAGTACCTCTTAGAATCAGTCCTGCTGACCATCTCGAGGAGTACAAGCGTATGGATCAGCGATCTTAGCAATACAGCACCCTTTCCACCAACAAGATCCCAAGATTTGGTGATTTTGTTCGACTTGCGCCACTCAAGGCCGTTCCTTGAACAAACAAACCCTCTCTAAGCTCTGTGAGTGAAGAAGGACTTAGTTCTTGAATCCTGGTTAGAAACCTGCCTCATGCTTTCCGTCGTCTCCTGATGACCCGAACATCTACGCGCTAACAGAGAATTTGCTCATTCTAGCCACGATCAGCAATTATTACCAGCCGCCTCGTAAAAGGAGCTACACATCGGGAAGTTTACGGATTCAGTATCGGGAAGCTGTTGACCCCGAGATGCCTAAAATGCGTGAAACGTCGAACGGAGGATTACTGTTACTCATGTCAGGATTTAGTTCGGTACGAGTTATACGGGCCCACTTCAACCGTCGCGAAAAAAAGAGTGGAGCTCGTAAACCGTCCCAAACAGGAAATCGTCTTTTACGAGCATGCGCAGAACTCGATGAGACAGGGGTTCTTCAGGACGAGATGTGCTACATAAGATATTACACGCTGACGGAGGATGACCTGAGATTTTTGCGTTGGTTTATGTCTCATTTCATTCTCATCTTTAACTCTATTTCCTTTCTTCGCGCTATTGCGCTGCAATTAGCACCTCTTTTTCGCAGTCTATCCTTCATCGACACTTTTCTAGCAAGCGAGCGCATGCACTTGTGAACCGCTTGGCATAGACACCTCGATACCCGTGGTTCCAGCGGTGGAAATCTGCGTTAAAACAGTAACGGCCTCAATTTCCTACTTCAATACAGTATTCGACTGCTGTACTAATACCTTTCTCTCAACAGGCCACTACGTTACCCCCCTTCCTCCATCATGGCCGCCGACGCCAAACCCCCTAACGACGCCGAGCACGATGGCGAGAAGTCCCCCACCACGACCCAAGATACCCAACGACCCCAAAGAACACCAAAAGTTGCCGACTACATACGAGTCTTCAGTTACGCTACAAAATGGGACTTCTTCATCTACGCCCTTGCCTCGTTCGCATCCATTGGCGCTGGAATAACCATGCCGCTCATGAACGTCATCTTTGGCCAGCTCGTCAATCAGTTCACAGACTACTTCAGAGACACGTCTAGTTTCCCGACCGATAAGTTTCAATCTATCTTGAACCGACAAGCGCTATACATCATGGCTCTGTTCTTGGGGCGCTGGGGACTCAACACTATCAACAAATACTGCTTCCGAATGATTGGTATCCGACTATCCTCCGCTATTCGTCTCCATTACCTTCAATCTCTCTTTTCACAGTCTATTCATGTCATCGACTCCATGCCTGCCGGCGCACCTGCTACAGCCATCACTGCGACGTCTAACACCCTTCAAGTCGGCATCTCAGAGCGACTGGGCACATTCTTGGAGTTCAACGGCACCATCTGGGCGGCTATCATTGTCGCCTTCGTATGGAGTTGGGACATTACCTTGGTGACTGCATCTTTGATCCTCTACATGATGGTCATTCTGTCCATCTCCATGCCAATTCTCGTCAAGGGTCAAACGGCGACTGGGCAGGCAGACGCTCAAGGTACTGCTATCGCCAGCGAAGCACTCCAGGGGATCCGGCTAGTCACGGCCTGTGGCGCTCAATCCCGCGTGATGGCTAGATACAGAGTCTGGGTCGAAAAGGCCATCGAGGAAGGCCAAAAGATGGCGCCCTTCATGGGCCTTCATCTTGGCATGATTGTACGTCCTCGGGTGCCTCTTGGATATCCGATACTAACAGCCATCTAGTTCTTTGGAGTCTTCGGAACTTTCGGTCTCGCCTTCTGGTATGGAACGCGACGATACATCTCCGGCGCCATCGACAGTCCCGGAGTCATCGTCATCGTCCTCATGTCCGTCATGTTGATCCTCACTTCTCTCGAACGTATCGCCACTCCCCTCATGGCTGTTAGCAAAGCCATGGTTGCTGCATGCGAGTTCTTCACTGTCATCGATGCCCCCATCCCCTCCTCAGGCTCCCTCAAGCCTGAGATCACCTCTCATGACATTGTCTTTGAAGATGTAACCTTTGAGTACCCCAGCCGCCCTGGAGTCCGTATCCTGGACGGACTGAGCTTCTCCATTCACTCTGGACAGAACACAGCGATAGTCGGTCCTTCAGGCTCAGGGAAGAGCACCATTGTTGGTTTGCTTGAGCGCTGGTACTCATTGAAGGAACACCACGTCTTGCCCCAAGTCGTTGAACCCAAACCTCAGAAGAAGGCTAGCGAGCAGCCCGATGAGCAGTCTGAGGAAGAGGCTCCTGCAATCAGCCCTACCTTGGCTGGCTCAGTTTCCATCGGTGGGAACAACCTCGAAGACCTTGACCTCAAATGGTGGCGTTCACATATCGGTTTGGTGCAACAGGAACCCTTCCTCTTCAATGACACAATCTTCAACAACGTCGCGCATGGTCTTATCGGCTCCGAATGGCAAGATCAGCCCGAAGAAAAGAAGCGTCAGATGGTTCGAGACGCCTGCCAAGAATCTTATGCGGATGAGTTCATCAACCGCCTTCCTGATGTATGTTTCTCACTCTCCTCACCTTCCCAGACCTTTCCATCTGACCAATGTTTATAGGGTTACGATACGCATGTCGGTGACGGCGGCGCAAAGCTGTCGGGCGGCCAGAAACAACGCCTAGCGATCGCGAGAAGCATCATCAAGAAGCCCAACATCATCATCCTCGACGAAGCCACCAGCGCCATTGATGCGAAGAGTGAGAAGATCGTCCAAGCTGCACTCGATAGGGCCACACAAAACCGCACAACCATCACCATCGCACATCGTCTATCTACCATCAAGAAGGCCGACAACATCATCGTGCTGCAGAGCGGGAAAGCGGTTGAGCAAGGCGCGCATGCGGATCTCATGACGAAGACCCATGGAGTTTATGCTTCTCTTGTCAGGGCGCAGGCTCTTAAGGTTGCTGATAATCAGGAAGAGAAGGGCGCTCTTGTGTCGGATGATGAGTCTCACAAACATCATCCTGATGCGAAGCTGGCTGATATCACTGCGACTTTCACCCAAGAAGAAGCCCTCAAGAAGTCCCGAGGTCTCTTCAAAAGTTTCGGAAAGCTACTGTACGAACGAAGACAGAAGTGGCCTAACTTCCTTGGTATTCTCCTCTCGTCTATGGCCGTCGCAGCTGGTACTCCCATCCAAGCTTGGCTCTTCGCGAAAGCCCTCGGGGTCTTCCTTCTTCAGGGCAGTGACTTGAAGAGTGAGAGCCAGTTCTGGGGCTTCATGTGGTTTGCCCTTGCTGGAGGGGTTGGTCTTGCGTATCTTTGTGAGGGCTGGATCGGGTTGCGCGTTCAATACTACGTCAGCGGAGTGTACAAATCCCAGTACCTCAATGACATGCTGTATCAGCAACTCTCCTTCTTTGATCAGGAAGACAACTCCCATGGATCTCTGAGCTCTCGCGTTTCGAGTGACGCAAAACAGCTGGAGGAACTTCTTGGCATCAACCTCGCACTCATGCTCTCCGCCATCTTCAACATCACTGGCTGTGTCATCATCTCACTCGTCTTCGGTTGGAAGCTCGGCTTGATCTCCATGTCTGTTGCCTTGCCACTCATGATCGCTGGTGGATGCTGGAAGTACAAGCATGAAGTTCACTTCGACAAGATGAATGCTGCGGTCTTCCAAGAAAGCTCCGCATTTGCGACCGAAGCGATCGAGGCTATTAGAACAGTGTCTTCGCTTACCATGGAGGACTCGATCAACAGCCGGTACCGCGATCTCTTGGATGGGCATGTGAAGGCGGCCAATCGAAAGGCTCAGTGGACGTCAGCGATCTTTGGCTTCGCAGACAGTGTCGGCCTCGGATGTCAGGCTTTGCTGTTCTGGTACGGCGGTGGTCTCCTTATCAGCGGAGAATACTCAATGGAGGCGTTCTTTGTCTGCTTCATGGCAGTCATCCAGGGCGCTGAGGCCGGCAGTCAAGGGTTCGGACTGGCGCCAAGCGCTGCCCAAGTGACTGCTTCCGCGAACCGTATTCTCGACGTGCGGCAATCTGTTCATCCAGATCGACAGACATATGGCAAGCATGGAGAGGGTATCAAGGACACTGACGGCGGAGTCAAGATTGAGTTGCGCGACGTCTCCTTCAAATACCCCACGAGAGACGTTCCCGTCTTTGACAGGCTGAACCTTACCATTGAGAAGGGCCAGTATGCCGCTTTTGTCGGAGCATCAGGCTGTGGCAAGACAACCGTTATCTCGCTTCTCGAACGCTTCTATGACTTGGAACCTGGTAATGGTGCAATCCTGTGCAATGGCCAAGACATCAAGGATACGAATGTCTACGATTACCGTCAACTTCTGTCTCTCGTATCTCAAGAACCCGCCATGTTTAGAGGATCCATTCGCGATAATATACTCTTCGGAATCGACAATCCAGAGTCTGTGACCGACGACAGGATCCACCAAGTCTGTCGCGATGCCTTCATCCACGACTTCATTGTCTCACTTCCGGAAGGCTACAACACCGACATGGGTCACAAAGGAGTATCTATGTCTGGGGGACAGAAGCAAAGAATCGCAATCGCCCGCGCCTTGATCCGAGATCCAAAGGTCCTTCTTCTCGACGAAGCGACATCAGCTCTTGACTCGGAATCTGAGAAGGTCGTTGCAGCCGCGATCGACACAGCTCGCAGTGGACGAACTGTCATCTCTGTCGCTCACCGACTTTCGACGATTCAGAATGCAGATGTCATCTTTGTATTTGATGATGGAAAGGTTATTGAGAAGGGTTCACATACTGAGCTGGTCAACAAACAAGGCATCTACTGGGAAATGGTGCAGAACCAAGCTCTGGACCAATAACCTTCTGTCACTTTCTCTTTCTATTATCTGCTTGATTTGCTGTCTTTATCATTAATACTTTGTAAACTTCTCTTCTCACAAACAGCGTGCTGTGCTCTTTTCTTCTTTCTCTACTAGATTTCATTGGCATGGTCATTGTCTTCGCATAAATCGAGGCTTCTTTTAACCATGATGCGAAGAACCAGATGTTCATAGTTTATATAGCTTATACGGGTCTCTTCACTGATTACATCGCATGAGTCCAACCCCTTTTTCCCCATTGCCTGCTTGGAAGTTGCTCTCTCATTCCACCAACTCAGGCCAGAGGGTAATTATATCTCCCAATAACGGTCTGCCAGCTGCTGAAGGCGGTCTTCTTTTCCACTCGATAGCATCAAGCTCTCCCTTCACTACGGCCGTCTCCTCTACGAGCTGCCACTCCCCTGTAATCTCATCCTTATCCAAGTAGCAGAAAATAACCCGGTCACCTCCTTCTTCAAACAGATATTCTCTGCGTAGTAACCTGTGCCACTGCTCCATGGCCGTGCCTTCGGATGCATTTATCCGCTCCACGATCTTGTTTCTGTGAGATAGTAGGTACAGCGAGCGGGCGTTCCAAATCCCGTCTTGACCAGGGTAGTCTTTCAGCAACCATGTAGCTTCGTCGCGAAGAAGCGCATCGCGACAGAATAATGCGATGAGAAAGAGATGCGATGCCATGTTGCATTGTAATGAAAGCTGCTGTGCCGGGTTCTTCAAATCCCGCTTCGCGATGCGGATACTGATCTCAGCTAGGGAGAGGAACTCGCGAAACAGGGGCGTCTTGGCTTGAATAGGCTCAACATCATAGAAGTGCGTGAGATCATCGAAGGTGCAAGTACCAAGGTAATGCAAGCGAAGATGAATAGCTCTGATGTAGTCCGTTGATTTCGCATCCGACATAATTGCACGGTTGAAGAGAGGCATAAAAGCAGCTTCGAGGGCCCTTAATTCCTTCGTGGAGGCTTCACAGATTTCTCTAATACGTGGATCAGCTGTGATTTCCTTCCAAACTCTGGAGATAATATCAGGATCCGACGAGACCAAAACACCAGTGCTCTGGACAGCTTCCATGAGGAGAGGAACAACAGCAAGTTTGGCGTTCCGACCAGTCAGCCAATATTTCTCAAAGTCGTCCAGGTTGTCAAGAACAGGGGGAAGTTCTTCAGTCGGTGGGTAATCTCGAGGTATCTGGTTTACCATGGACATGAAAGACTCAACTGTGTGCTTCTTGGCGCGTAGGCCTCTGGTGAAGTTTGGTACAGCGGGGCTACGGCCGATGTTTCCGCGTAGTATAAGTCTTGTTTGTGGGAGCAGTTGGGAGAAGATATCTGCTACCACAGCGATGAGCGGTTTTGGGTTTGGGGCGATCGAGGTCATCAGAGCAGAATCTGCGTCGGTCAAGAGCGCAAGCAACATTGCCAGTCCATGATTGATGTGATCCAAGGCAGCTTTCCTATTTCCTCGCAATGTCTCGAAACATAGAAATAGAACTGAAAGGAATACAGCGTCGTGTATCGAAACTTGTTGGCTCTGTAGTTTGAGCGCATGGCAGTAGTGCGATACCGCGTTCAAATAGTCTGTGTCCCCCCGAGCCGCTTCATTATCCGCCGATAACAACGAACCAAGTGAATCATATTCCGACTTTGCAAGCCATTTGCTCAATGCGCCGATTGCTATCGCGGCATGCCGTACAATATCGTTGGTACGTGCAACTTGGGGTAACGTCACGGACCATAAATCACTGTTGAACCCAGCGGAGATCCATGGACTCTGCACAACTTGTATAAACTCATCAAAATAGAGAACACTCTGAGCGTCTCGAAAGTCGAGAGAGTCCTGAACAAGATGAAGCTGCGCCTTCAAGGGAGCTGCCCAGGTGACTCGTTTCGAATCCCATTGAAACTGGCCTGGCCCCTTATTCCGCTTTCTGTCCGGGATGGCGTAACCTTCACATTGCCGGTTATTCCTCACACAATTTCGACAGTGAGGCTTTGCTTCGTCACATCTGACATGCCGTTTTTTGCAGGTGACACAGCCTGTTCTGACTTTGCTTGCACTCGTGCGAGTCAACTTTGGCTTGCTGGATCTAGATCAATTGTCAGCTTGTGGGCACAATTCAAAGAGTCGGTAACAATATTCTTACATTGAAGAAAGTTCAAAAGATATGGGCAGCTGTTGTGTCTGGGGTTCCATGGTCGTCTGGCGGAGAGATGAGGTGCATTGAAGACAGCCATGCTGACATGTTGGTATTGCATTTCGCGGGGTCCGGCTAAAGCCCGAAGCGCGCCGATTGTTATTCCGCGATGCTGTTGGTTGTTTGTTTTTCGTCGTCATGGATGCTTGGCATTCTTGGACATACATGGTATTGAAACATTGACTTTTGCGTCATTTTTTCTAGGTGACAAAGATATACCCAGCTTTACGGAGTAGAATCTCAGAAATCGGCCAAAAAGCCCCTTAGGCCGCTTAGCGATATCGCGAAAGGGACAGCGGTTCCACGAACTGCGTGTAGTGGTGTTTACAACTCTGCAAGACGTGCAAATAATGTGACAAATTTCGGCCAATGGAGCCTAGAACGAAACTCCGATACCACACTTTGATAAGCACACTTATTGTCTTGAGTCAGTCAGATGGCATCTTTTCGTGGGTATAAAGTTGAACGTGGCGACTTACCTACAAGATCCCTATCTTCAGCCAGCTTCAGCTCTCAGCCAAGGCTATGTTTCCTAAGACATCTATACTGTAGAAGGAGGAAAAACCAGCTTCGTATGATTGCACCCAGCTTCGAGAAGAAGATGGTTAAGCAGAATCTCAGGGGCGTCGCTTGACACGCTTACAATAGCTGGCTCCTTATGGCCTGCGGAGTAGCCTTTGTGCATATGGCTCATGTGAGCCTCGAACTCATCTATCTAGAACAACTGTTGAATGGCCATGTAATCTGGCATAAAAATGAAACGAATCAGGATGGCTCGCACGCCTCCTTCTGAATATACCTGGAGGGGATTCGTCGCAAGCAGAACTGTATATCCGCTTATGCTCGGGAAAGGAAGAGGCAGGGATAGTTTTCTGTCGCTCACGAGATGAAAATTCATGATAACATGATCAGCTGCTTACAGGTGGTTTCGTCGCAATCGCTGTCGTCATGAGCAGATGAAAGTTCAGAACAGCTCCAAGTTGAGCCAGAAGAATTACCACGTGCGCATAGAGTTCACAGGTAAGAACCTAATTTCGTCCCGTGTTACGAAATCTTTCAAGCATGATGCATATCTAATTACAGATAACACGAAAGGCCATGCTCCGGAGGCCGCGGGTTCAAGAGCTGCAGAAAGTTTCGGGTGATGACGAAATCTCAACACGCAGACAAGGATGGTTGAATGAAATGATCAACTCTTTAAGCTCTGGCCATATTATTATTTCACAGGTCACACCGAAATCTAGTGACCGACAACTGTTTTCGGGCTCCGCGGGGGGGTTTATTCGTCACAATGCGTAGTAATTGACTTGCAGTCAAGGGGCCTACCATATTCTGGGTTCTTGAAAATGACGCAAAAGCTCCCAGTTTGGACGAGATTGATTGGTCCTCTCAAGTGAGTTCTCAAATAGTCTAGCTTTAGCATTGAATCCTGAATCTCACGATATATTTTCTCGAATAAGCGTTAGGATGACATGCTCAATAGCATTTCATTTGATGGAAAATGCATGTTTTGTGGCTGCGAGAGTGGGGGTTTCACAGCTGATGTAATTCTGTTAGTGGATTTCCCGCGTCCTTCGGGCCCCGAGCTCCAGACTGTACCCTGTTTTGCATTGAATCCTCCAGCTATCAGATTGGTAACGAATGGTGATCATCTTCTAGCATCAAATCCTTCTGTTTGGGGGCCAAAGTAAACGGCAGAGGAAAACCGAAAATTGACGGTCTGGGCAGTGGCGTAATTGGCCAGGTCAAATGCTCTCGGATTGACGCGGTTGCTGATTGAGGGAATGCCCGACGTGACAGGTGCGAAGCTAAATCACAAATTCGCAATTGCAATTCGATTGACAGACATGGCTTCACTTCCAAGAAATGGGTAGGGCTGAAGAGGGTGGCAGAGTCGAGCCAGCCAAGGCAGAATGGCTGCTCTTCTAGACTTTTCTTCCCCTTTGAAGATCATAACACATGCCAATCAGAGGCAGGATATCAGCCTGGACCAAGCCCCTCCAAATTTAACACGCGACTAACCCGGTTGTTTTCCCTGCGCAAGGTGGCACAGATCAGCAGGATTTGCTCCACATTGATTGGCGATAAATGGGGCTGTGTTTGGACTCACTGGCTGGCCCGTAAAACGACAAATGTAGTGATGCACAGGGCACAAACAGTTGTGAGTGACTGTGCCTCGTATTACCTACCAACATGCAATTCGGCGTATTCCCGTTACGGCCACTGAATGTTGGCTGCAAATATCCCAAAAAAATCATGATATTGTCGTGGCTTGTTTATGGCGGTCTTAGATGTCATGATTCGCAGAATCTGGAGCTGCATCGGCAAAGCTGTCCACAACAACAGCTGTGAAGGGGCCATTGTGCATTTTGAACCGTGTTACCGAGCCCCTTTGCCCCTTACAGCTAAGCTTTAGAGGAAATTAGAGGCGAGGACCAATCAAATCCATTGCCGTTAGCGGACCCAGCCCTGGAATGACCCCTGTGTTTTGGGGATCCATCTTCTGAAATCTGTGAAGTCTGATGCATGGGTCTTGACGTCTATTTCAAATGTCGAATTTCTATGTGCAACTTGTCGGTCAATGACTGAATCTGACCGCAATTATCGCCATGCTGCACCTTCAGATTGCCGTGATGGATGCAATTTATGGGAAATGCAAACTGTATCCCTTGAACCCTATGTTCGGGCTAGATTGACGCCGCCTAGCACCATCTTCGCCTCGACGCTGACAATGGCACACTCAGCCCGTTCTGGTACGTGCCGAAGGTCCGGGGCCAGCCGCCCCAAAAAGCCTAAGTCACACGAGTCATCTCCTTTTCAGTGACCCGTTGTAACTATTTTGATCACCGACGGGAGCCCTGATTGGAGCCAGACGCATGCAAATGTCAGCACTGGCAGAAGCTGACCCCCAAAGGGCAAAAGGGCTGAGGCTGAGGCTCCCTCCACATCCAGTACAGGTACAGGCAGTTCAGGCAGTGAGAAAACCCCTTAATAACGGTCTTGCCCGTGGTCCCAGCTGGGCGCACTCTGTTTCAAGCTTTTGCCTTTGCTGTTGTGTCTTTTGCCATGCGATGCTTTTCTGTAATAACAGACTTTTTTCTATGAGAGCTTATTTGGAGGCTCAATAACGTGGCATCTTTTTTTTTTCGCAGCGTGTTTCTTTTCTTCTTCCTCTCTTTTTAGACAACAACCATGATGCAAAATACGACACCGTCTCAGGCGGCCTTGGCGCTCGCACGCGCTCTCCTAAAACGAGTACCCAACCGCCAGTTCTTCTTCACCTTCACAGCCCTCGCAGTCTGGGGCGCCAAGATAATACATATCTACGCACACATCAACGCTGTACACCAAAACCTATTACATCGATGGGGCTATTCTTTCGTTACACAAGATGTCGTCGTCCTCACCCTCATTCGACTCCTCCTCGACCAATGGTCCACGAACCTACCCACGCGGTCGCAAATCGCCGTCCTCGTCTTCACCGCGATATTCATGTTCATCAACGCGCTGCTCAGTGTCGTCTCGATATCCTTCTACCTCGTCGCCGGCTCCGAAATACATTACAGCAACATCTCTCTGCCAAACGACCCCTCCTCCAAATCGTTGATGCTGTCGGGCAGCGTCGCGTTTACAAGTGTCCTCTGCGCCAACATCTTGTTGAGCTGGCTCCTCAAAACACCTTGCTACAAAATCCATGGCTATGTCGCTGAGGTTGTACATCGATCGATCGCCAATGCTTGGCAATTCCTTCGTCGCATTCTTCCCCGCCAAAATCGCTACGTTCCTGTCCCGAAAGCCGATCTCGAGGGCCAGACCGAATCCTTCGATGACGAAAGTTCCGACGACGACCTCCAAGAACAAAAGACCCAGCACCTGAGCCCGTTTCAATTCCGACTAAGAACTGCTTTGAGATCCGTGCCATTCGCTTTGGCCGCCATCTTCTTGCTCACACTCCTTTACGCGGCCGTCGCACGACCCTCCGATCGATCCCTCATATTTCTCTCTTATACTGCAGCGCTGTCACCATTCGTGGATTTTTCCTCGGGACCGACATTACAAGACTTGCCCAGTGTTTTCGGCACTGGCATTCAGCATAGCTGGGACAATCTCACTGCGCTCGCGACGGCCGAGCCATTCGATTGGCTTCCTAACGATCAAGTATTGGCCGGGTTTGAGGATTGGCACTTGAAGCGCCCGCATTACAATGCTGATGTCGATCCATTGAAGATATCGAACCTCGGGCAAGACCTTGTTCCCACACTGAAGGACAAGCTGCAAGACGTTCCCATCCGACATGTTGTTCTGTGCTTCCTCGAAAGCACACGAAATGACGTTTTCCCAATCAAGAAGGATGGAAACATTTGGGAACTTTTAGCATCAACATTCCCCAACAACACGATTCCCCAAGAGGCTCATGAGAAATTGGCCAATCTCACTCCTACCGCCAACTATATCACAGGCGATTACGACGATGGCTTCGACCACGAAGGGTCCAAGCCCAAGCGCGGCGGCGTTCACTTCACCAATGCCCATACCACCGGCACCTTTACCTTTAAGAGCTTGGTCGGTACCTTGTGCGGTATCGGCCCATTGCTAGCCGACTTCAATCTCGACTACGCGCACCATGTCTACCAGCCTTGCTTGGCTCATATCTTTGCAGCTCTGAACCAAGTGTCGAACACTACCGACGCAGGGTCGCGCCCCTTCAACGACTTCAAGTGGCAGTCATACTTCTACTCAGCTGCGACTTTAGGATATAACAATCAGCAAGAGTTGATGGAGGCAACTGGATTTCCGGAGGAGCATCTCATTGGACTTGAGTGGCTACGATCTGAGAATGCGACACACGGGCCGGTAACACTACCACGAATCAACGGCTTTGCCTTTGAAGAGGACCCTCTGGAGGACTACTTCCGTGACGTGTTTGTCCAGGCCAAGGAGAAGGAGGAGCGAGTTTTCTTGTCGCACATAACATCGACAAGTCACCACGCCTACAAGTTGCCTGAGGGGGAGGAGTACGTCCCAGTTGCTAATGGCCATGATATGCTTTCGCATTATCTCAATACAGAAGGCTATGACGATCGATGGCTACGCAAGATCTTGGATCTACTAGATGAGCAGGGTGTCGCTAATGAGACCCTCATTGTCTTCGTCGGAGACCATGGCATTTCGATGCCTGAGAATGGCGCCGTGTCGCCTTACTACAACCCTAGCATCGGCATCGACCATGTTCCTCTAGTGCTATCTCACCCTCTCCTGCCCGCATTCGACATTCACGATGCAGTCCATTCCTCCCAGATCCTGCCAACCATCCTCGATCTTCTCCTCGAGACAGGCTCACTAAACAACGCCAGCCGACAAGCGGCTTCCGACCTCGTCCGCAATTACGAAGGCCAATCCCTAATTCGACCACTTCTCACGAAGAACGAGACAACCGGCCAAGGCAACTGGCAGTTCGTTGTCGTAAATCCTGGTCGCGCTGTAGTAACTGCCCGAGATGCCCGTTACCCAGAGCGCCATCTTGCCATTCCTCTCATCGACAATGTCGAATGGCGATTAAGCAACGTGGACGAAGATCCCATGGAGCACGACTCTGTGCAAAGTTTCGACTTTACTTCTTTCACAGATGTTGTTTCACGGAGATTTGGCAATGACGTTGCGCAATGGGTTGAAGAGGGGGCTTTCATAGCGAGGTGGTGGGCGGAGGAAAACCACAAACGGTGGCAGTATGGGGAATATGATGAGCGAGAAACATCTTGATGAGTTTGAATAGAATAGGAATAATTACATCACATTTTACATGTTCAACCTATGGCAAAGTTCATGTGTGAAACCTACCCATGTGCGCTTTCATGTCTAAGCCGTCGGTTCTGAACAAAGCATGGAAATTTCTTTTGTCTAGATACATGGAAGTCGTCAAGACCGCCCCTGGCCGTCAAGTTCTTGATGAGCCACGAACCAACAATGGATTTATCTCGTCATCTCTTTGGAAATTACCTTTTGAACATTCACTAAACCTCTGCCCCTTCATATCTCGTGGAAGTTTTTTTTTGGCTAGAAGCTTATATCGTGAAAAAGAATATTATGTCCTCGCCATGTGTGTTAGCCGCCTAAGTTTAACACTATGGCCAGCAATCAGCTAAATAGCTGCAACTTCATGGTCAGACACTGTTTGCCTCGTTATGGGCTGGAACTTCATATGGTCTTGTGTAATCATAGTTCACACAAGTTTCTTCAATGCTACATAGACTATTGTGAAGTAAGCTTTGCTTGGTATGCTGAAGTATATTGTATGTATACAAGAAGATTTTGAAGAAGGAATGTAGCAAGTCTTGGTTTCGTGTGACCTCCACTCGGAGACTTTGAATGTAGCCATTTCTTCGACCATATCAACAATGGTCGAAATTGAGAGACTCTGCTAAGGTGCTGTAAACCTTGCCGATATCTCAGCCATTTAGATTAATGTCACTCATCTGAGATTCTTTGCTTCATAACCGCTCAGAGAAAAACTTTCACTGCAAGGTACAAGCCGTAGGTCAAATCATATATTCAATCCATCATTACTATCATCTATTAATCCATACCATTTACATATCCATTAACCATTAATCCGACCAAGCTCAGAAGTTCATGACAAAGGCAGCACCACCGAAAAGGGCGCCGAGCGCAATGGTAGCAGTGGCCTGGGCAGCGCCTTCAGTGGAGGTCGAAGGCGACAGGCCAGTGGCCGCAGCTGTGTTTGTGTTCTCGGGAACCCCTGATGTGAAGGGGATGTCGCTGACGGAGCTGGCGCCGGAGATTGCAACCTCTGTGTTGCTCCATGCCAATGAGAAATGTCATGAACGCTGCGTGTCATCAGGCTTAAGCTCTTACGCTGAATCATATTCAAGTGATGCTCCAAAGCTTGGTAACAGGCTGAGTTCTATGGTCTCCTGATAGGATGTCTAGCATTTGCCTTATTATAATGTCTCGTGTTAAAATATCTCTTGTTGAGATTAAGTTTATCTGTTAGTCACTTGAAGGTGGAGACATGACAACTCGTAAATTGGCATTTCTGGATGAGCTGCTCGCTATGAGTCAAGATCAGCATGATTGCGGTCAGAGAGCTAACACATAATGGGACATTGATTATAATACAGAACCCCCAAAAGCAAAGGTCTGCGTGTATTTCTGTAACTGAATAAGGGAGAGGTTTTATCAGAATATAAACTTTCAACCGGGCTAGGCTATATGTTTCAAGTTTTACCCCAACATAGCTAACTCATGAAAGTCCTCCAAGAAGTACAAGAGCAAGTGACCGTGTTTACATCTCAGAACAACTCATCGTAAGGGTGTTTAGCTTAGCAGCCGCAACCACACTGCTGGCAGTCACCCTTACCGCAGAACTTGTCGTCAGTAGGACAGTCACTGTCATTGGAACAGCTCATCCAAGCACCCTTTCCGTCTTTGTGGGCAGACCAGCACCAGAAACCCCACTCGACCTCCTTGGCACTGCCGCAGTTCTGCCAGCACCAATGCTTGTCGCAGCCAGCCTTGGGCTTCCACTTTGAAGAAGTGCATTTTCTCTTCTCAAGGACGTTGACCTTGGTAGAGTCAGGGTTGCGGCTGTGGATCTTGACTGAGAGGGGATGCTCCTTGCATTTGCGGAGCTCAGAGACGTCCATGCCGGCGGGAAGAGTATCGAGATCCCATTCTGCGACGCCGAGGGCACCGCACTCAGCTGCGGCGTTGGGGGCGGAGTACATGTTGACGGCAAGGGCCTGAGCGGCGAAGAGGCCGAAGAGGGTAGCGGTGAACTTCATTGTGAATAAGAGAGGAGTGTAATTTTGTGATGATGAATGTGTTTGAGCTGAGAGTGAAGTACGAGCGATTACTCTGGAGATAGCAACCTTCTTATACCCATCCGTGGACTCAACCTTTCGTAGGTTCCTCTATACCAGCACTCTTATTTCCATAAGAGGAAAGCTCCGATCGATATTCCACAGTATAAAGAGAACCCTCAGCCGATGTCCCACTCCAATAATGTGGCCATTAATATCATGATGCCCGATGGACCGTGAATCGATTCGCAGTGTTCGTATAACTGGAACCCTGAAACTTTGCACCAGTGTAACACAGTAAGACTTATGAGAGAGAAGGAAGCCAATGAGAAGATATCGCCCCCATTATATACACCGTGGAGAAGCATTTAGCCAAAGCGTACTTCACTGCACGTTGCAAGACCTGGGATGGTTGGTCAACGTCAACGGCCATGTCATCAGGCCATGGATACAGCCCTAGACTGTGGCAAGGTGGAAACCTTATTGTTTCAAGTGCGAATGAACTTCCTCACAATAAACATTAACATTTATGCGGAGTTGAAAAAGCCATGTCGACTAGTACGATATGGTAACTTGAGAGCCTCATTTCCCCCTGACTTGCCCGGCTCTTGTTTGTTTTAGGCCGAAGCAAATCAGTCGTAGAATTCTTAGACCACGGAGAATTCTGCACGAATCAGGTGTTTCTAATGGGGCCCTGCCGTTTTTGCATTTTTGGTTGTTGGTTATTTGGTAAATCACATCACTAGTTTAAGCTGTTGGTTGTCCCCTGTCAACTCTCGAAAACGCCCCTGTGAGTCGCCATGGCTCGATGCCATCTTGGGCTTATGATGGGCAGCTGCCTTGTTCATAAGATACTATTCTCGTGATATGGAAACTTCCGCTTCATCTTCGAGTGTTGGTCGTTTAAAACACCACACTTGTCATTGAGCCCCTGTAGTCCACCTCAGCCCATCGGCACCTTTGCGGCCCGTTCCTGGTTCCCAGGCGGATAAGTGATCGACAACACCACTACGGAAGAAAGAGTTCTCTCCCCACTAGTAAAGGGCACAGTGAATGTCGAAGTTGAGGATCAACGACATGTTCTGATCCAATGTCATAACAGCCGGGTTGATGGCATCGATCAGCGATTGACTGTCTGGATACAATCTGGAAGTCGCCATTTGCGCCATAGGCCATACGATTCACAGATCGGGGATATTATTCCTTGGCGAGAATATTTTACTCCCGTGCTACGTGGTATAGTGGCATTCCATTGCAGCCCTAAATCACCATGGACCACACACAGCCCTCTCTGTCTGCTTGGCCACTGTGTAGTGAGACCCAGCCTGGCTCAAGGAGTCAAGACATGGTATGTGCTGCTTTCAGGCTGCATCTAGGGCGTGGCAATGCCTCGAACATTGGCTCAAGCAATAAAATTTGTGCTTCTTTCAGCAATACACCGACTCTCTCGCCACACTAACGCTTTGACTTGGGGGCTGACGCATGATTTCTGGGGAAGCGGCGACTAACACGAGTATTCTTTGTCGCTCACATCATCCGAGAATCTAAGAGAGCGAACAAGGGTATCGGGGAAAAGCACGCCTAATATTCGTCTTGCCAGCCGTATTCTTGCTCCGAGATACAAGGGTTGGCCGGCTCCTTGCATCAAACGGCCAACGAGCCCTGAACTAACAGTGCTGGACCTGAAGCAGCCAACCAGGACGTTTTCGCCAAACAAGCGAATGGAGAAACGTGGCATCAGTCGTTACCGATAGGCACAGTTGGGGCTGTGAAGAAATTGGTCCTAACCGCACAATATTCCCAATGGTAAGAGCGTGGTTAAGTATGCCCGCTGCACGCCGAAGTTGATATGGACGGGATCAAGTACCCTACCACAACAACTGTCTTCACGACTAGTGTGATCTCACAGATACATTGCGTGAGCCGAAGACTATATTAGGATGGCGGGTTCCGTCCATAATGATCAGAAATCGCGCATAATAGTCCGATGATGATCATTGCCATGCCAAAGTCTCTCAACCAAGGGCACGTTTAGTATAGAATTCCAACATTTGCTTTCGCATGGAGTAATATCTTCAACTAATCTAAAAATACATTTGTTGTCTGTAAATTGCTTCGATTGAATATACATCAGGCTTTGTTTCTGTCTCGCTGGTTTCTGTCACTCGCCGGCTGGAAATCCGACAGAATGTACCTCTTTTTGCCTCCGACATTTGTACCTTGGCCCATCGAACCAGAGCTTCCCGGCCATATTTAGAGTCTTTGCAACTAAGATGCACTCTTTGAATATGTTGCAATCTATGCGTATTGAGGCTAGCCAGCATATCCGTGTTGTTATTTCTTTGTACACTCCTCCCAATTTCCCTAAACAGTTCAATATAGGGTCCAGTTTGCTTCTCTTGCATTAATATGTTCAAATTGTTTACTTGAGCTTGCGACCAAGCTGATGTGTTGAGAAACAAATTTGGTCTTATAGTTACACTTCGAACAAAAGCTTTTATTCACGTCAAGGCAGTTTCCATCATTCATGTTTCTAAGAATTTCCCAGTCGGATTTCAGTGCTTCAATCTTCTTAACAGTTCCTCATCTTGTCTTCCTCGACGGTCAGCACCAGCACTGGCCATCTGCGCCTGATCGAGTGAATTTAACATCAGAAAACCAAACCAAAGGCTTTGGCTGGAATACAGCCTGAAGGGTGAAATGTATCCTCTCTTGAACTGTACTAGTGCTCATGACTGGGGTCAACTCTGCTTGAAACGTTATTTAATGACTTTTGCCATTTGTGTTATTTTTCGTCTCCTCCCTTCGCAATGAACCTCGATTGATCAATAAGTGGCCAGGCTATATCTTCTGCCTGCAAGAAACCAGCTTACTTTTAGGCTCTCGTTCGAAAGAAATGACGCTATCTCCAGCAAGGCTTCGACGCTTTGACTTCACGATATGCTATTTCATCCGTGCGTTCCGTTTGTACCAATGAGAATCTCCAAGGTATGCTAAGCCACGAATTCAAAGCTGGGGACAAGATATGATTAGACAGACTGCGTAGTAGATCGTCGCATTTCGCTTTTACTGGCCTTTTCGGTGCCGAAGGAGACAGAAATCAAGTTTCTCCTTCAATTGGAATTTTCTTTGAATCAAGGATCGCGGATACCAAGTGCCGGACTTTCCAGTCAGTCCCTTGCATCTGAGCAACGTTTCAACGAGATGCAACCTCAAAGACCCGCTTCTAAAAATCTATGCCTTCTATCTTAACGGACACTTTTTATACAACTCTAAAAAACCTTTGAGGATATAGGAAGAATAGTCCGGCATTAATACTTTGGATGGTATGTTTAACTTTTAGATAGCGTATGGGACTATCAATGGTACTTCTCACGAGACGCAACACAATACAAGAGTTGTGTATATGTTATGATTAGGTTGTAAGCCTCGAAGGTTGAGTAATGCAAGTGCCGAACATCCGTCGGCTTTTGATGCCAAGATAATCCCGGGCCTTTCGTGCCGTTCCGTGAGACTCTGAGGGTATGAACCGACGAATTCTACTGGTTCGCGGATGTCTAAATCATTACTAAGAAGCATGGATATCATCAACAATTTCGCGATTCGGGTATATCGAGTATCGACCCTCCTTCATGTCAGTTCTTATGTCCATCATCGACTCTGGCAATTGGGTAGTGCTGACGGAACTTTTGTCTTGTGTTACACATACTACCTATCCGAATGCTCCGTCGGGACCGAATGCTTCCATGATGACTTCGGGATCTCGGTGATCTCGGGTTTAACCCTACATCACGGGGAGCCCAATTGATCAACCATGAGAGGATATTGATCGTCCATTACAGGTAATACTATCAATTTATAATACCTCATTCTCGCGGGACCATAGAATAGGTTGAGGGCTCAAACTCCATAAGAAGCAGCAGCCTGCCTCTGTCCTCTATCTCTCGCAGCACAGCTCGCATCTTTCAATTTGTACTATCAAGACATACAGCTAGGCCTAGTCCTCGTGAACATCGTCAACATGGTACACCGTAACACCTTCTTCAAAGCATTGGCGGCTTCACTCTCTGTTGCTCCAGGCTCAGCACTCCCTGCCCCTCAGTGAGTGCACACTTCATCTTGATGCCAAACTAAAAGCTAAGAAATACCAGAATGGGCGATTATGGGGAGAACAAGGGACCTGTAGGTGGAGTTAAGCCCCCGACACCAACAGTTACCTCAACCAGCGGTTCTCTATACGGTGACTCTAGCTTACTCGGTGGCAACGCTCCCCTCCCAGATCCTGACCAGGATTCTGCCATCGTCAAAGACCCAAAACATGTCAATGGCCAGGCAGCTGATCCCAAGCTCGGGCTCTATCTGGACTTTGACGGCGTGGATGTGCCTCAGCCAATCCGAGGCGAGCTAGGCGCTACAGATCCCGGTCCTCGAACTTACGACTATGAGAAGCTCAACCCCGATCTTTTTGCCCCTCCTGGCACAGATGCCGGAGATGTCCCCAATGCCATGTGGCCACTTGGTCTTTCTCACAACCGACTCGGTAGTGAAGCCGGCGCCGGATGGGCTAGACAGCAGAACCAGGATGTCCTTCCCGCTGCAACTGATATGGCAGGAGTCGACATGCGTCTCGCGCCGAATGCGTACCGCGAGCTACATTGGCACACGGCCAATGAGTGGGCCTTGGTAACAAAAGGCTGTCTGCGTGTTGCTGCTGTCAACGATGAGGGCAAAAGCTTTGTCGATGATCTCTGCGAAGGGGATGTTTGGTTCTTCCCTGCTGGCATACCTCACAGTCTCCAAGCTTTTGATAAGGGCGTTGAGTTCCTGCTGGTATTTGATCAGGGCACCTTCTCTGAAGATGAGACATTCCTTGTATCCGAGTTGTTCTTGCGAAACCCCGTCTCCGTTCTGGCAAAGAACTTTGAGACCGAGACAACTGCTTTTGATAACATCCCGAAGGACGAGCTTTACGTGAGTGCATTGCCTCAGCGTCTATCTACATACTAACATATGACTTCTCAGATTTTCAACGGAACACCAGCGCCGAAAGATATCGAGAAACAGAACGTGACAGGTTCAGCTGGAGCGCTGACGGGTAATGGTTCATACACGTACCATTGGTCTCAGCAGAAGCCTCATACCGTACCCGGAGGCTCTGTTAAAATTATCGACCCTACGACCTTCCCAATCGCCAAAGGATTCTCAGCTGCTCTAGTTGTCGTACAGCCCGGCGCACTCCGCGAGATCCACTGGCATACTACCTCTGATGAGTGGAGTTACTTCCTCCAGGGAAGTGGCAGAATCACCGTATTCAAAGCAGCCTCGTCAGCTCGCACCTTCGACTTCACAGCTGGTGGCGTTGGATACATCCCTGCTGCAAACTCTCACTACGTCGAGAATACTGGAACGGAGGACTTGATTTTCCTCGAGGTTCTTCAGGCGCCCAAGTTCTCAGATGTTTCTGTGGCACAATGGCTGGCCTTGACACCCAAGCAGATTGTGAAGGACCACCTCAAGGTTTCTGACAAGTTCTTGGATTCTTTGCCCAAAGAGAAGGCGTTCATCAAGACCGGAAACGTGAATATGACAGCTATCGTAGACGAACCTTAGAGATCATGCGGTGGAGACGAGGCTACGGATATTAGACCGAGTGATGTGACTCTTTGTAAGGATTCTACTTACTAAGTTCTGTGTGGTGATTATAAACTCTCAGCCCAGGTCTCATGAGCTGTGAATCCGCTGGCTGATGGCTGCTAAGTTATTATCATTTGGGTTGTGCCGACGGTAGCACTCCACTCCCAAATCTCAATTAGCTACCAGATTTCCTCAGATACGGTCGGTAGATGTGTAATAAAATGTTCTTTCAGGGAACGCGTTCGTCTCCGAAGGTGAACACATGGGCTCAGAGGATAATTCCCATAGCTCGTCTTCAACCTCCGAGACATTCAAAGTAGCCATCATAGTGGTGCTGAGTGACTTTGAACTTGATCGAATCTATGCTTGCAGATTGGTGGTGCAAACAGCATACGCTATGCTTTTGGGTATATTGCGCCTTTTTGATGGCCCCGTCATAAATGTGGATTGGATGAGTTGTATAGATTGGGCCATGGAAAGGCGACACTCGCGGTGCATCGGCGGCTATATTAGGTCCCAAGCCCAGAAGACTCTGGTGAAAGCAAAGGTACAGAGCGACGCAAGTATCTGATGGTGTGAGTGTTGGCAGGGCCGTAATAATATCCAACGTAGAGACATGAAGCCATACGGAATAGCTCAGCACGAAGTTGGCAATGGCTCTGAACCCAAAGTTAAGCCTTCTGTCCCTGAAGTATGAGGTAAGGTATTACTAGAAGACTTATATTATATCTATGTACTCAAACATCTCCAAGAGACTGTAATGGCCAAGCTAAAGCATACTGCCAAAACGAGCCAACTGTCCTGGCCACTAGGTAGATCAAGAATGAGCCAGAATGACCAAATATCCAAAATTCTCGATGACGGTGTAATATAGCCCCATAGAATGCTAGAACGACAAGAGCTTCCGGTCTATGCTCATATAGGGCCTCGATGTACTCGTCAGGAATAACCAAGGGCCAGGTCATGACCGCGTGAGGGCCAACATCAGATCTGGATGGCTCTTGTTTCGTTATGTCCAGTACCCATTGAATCCGGTCAAGTGCCGAGAGACAAGCTTCAGTAGAGGTAGACGACGTTGAGGATGACTTGAGGAATTCCCTCAGATGTCTTGTGTCTTCCCCTGAAGCCTCCTCCTCTGTTTTCTCGGATACGACTTTCGTATGCATGAGTGGTTGCAAGTCGGAGTGCAGGATGTTGTGCCAGTACTTCGCGGTGATGGCCCGTACCCCCCTATGAAGACGAAGGTAACTAACAAAATCTTCAACAAACTCAGCGAGAGTATCATGACGCTGACAGAGTGTCTCGTGAAGGACATGAAGTCCAAGCAGTGAGGCAAAAAGAAAAGTCGGCACGTAAGTGTCTTCGGATATCTGATCTTTGGCTTGGTTGAATAGGCCTAGCGCTCGTGTCTGTAGCTCAGTGGCTTGTCGACGGAACGACGATGCTTGTACCACATCCTGAGTTGACAGATGAAGCGCCGAAAGCGCGAGGACTTGATCCAGGAGATAAGGGGCCTTGGATGAATTCTCCAGGGCAACATCGATAATGGGCTGAGCTATTGACTGAAGAGCCATGAAGTCTGACATGTTCATCATAGCATAGTGAAGGAATACCATGTGGGTTACCGTAAAATTCGGCCCAGAATGTGGTGTAACATCATCTGTCTCTCTAGGAGCCGCCAGAAGATTGCTTTCAAGGACGTTGGTAGGAGTAGATGCGGCGTCGGTTGCGTTTGGGGTCGAAGGCGTCGTCGTAAGGTATGGACAAATCAGGCCGCTTATGACGCAGTTCCGGCATTCCGGCTGTGTTTCGTCGCATTTTATATATCGGTTTTTGCATTCCCTGCAGCCGTTTCTTGACTTTCGGTGAGCTCGACGACCTGAGAGTTTGCTTCGTTGCTGTTTTGGCATTTGTCGAGGAGCACAAAGAGCAGCGGATGAAATTTGGCATGAACCAGTCCGCGAATACACGGATGCCCCCTACGAAAAGTTAAAGACTTAAAGGTAGTGTAGAGAAGAGAATGTAACAAGGAATCCAGGCAATAATTAGCATGGCAATGCTCTCTATAAGCCGAATTTGGTTTAGCCAAGTGGACTTGGGTTTTGGCTTGGCCCGGCGTACGTATTCCCGACTGAATACGATGTGTTCGAGATTGTACCAGGCTAAGAAACATTAAATAGCGCCAAGCATTGACGAATCCGAGCCATCTTTCATACGAGGGCTACAAACCAGGAAACCAGGATCCACGTTTAATCTTGACAAATTGATCTATCATGCAAAGCCTTTCGAGGTACGGAGAGCAACCATGTGGGTTTCTGGAGCCCATGCTCACGGCTAACTTGAGAGACGCGTAATTGGCAACAAGCTTGGGAGATACTGCTGATATAAAAGAGCATGAGGTTTGAGTGAGTCGAAGTCTAAAAAGAAGTAAGCAGTATCGGGTCGAGTCTCTAATCCAAAAGCCTTGTAACACCATGAGAGTCGACGTTACTCTCTTCGCATCCGCGTTGGCCTTCTGCACCACGAGTGCCGCCGAGTTGTTCTGCAAAAACCACCCATCCAGTACACATTGGCCTTCGGCCGGGGAATGGGACGCCCTCAACCACACCGTCGGAGGCGGCTTAATCAGATCGACGCCTGTCGCCTCGTCTTGCTACAAAGACAGCAATTTCGCATCTGTCTTCAGCTGCAAGAACGTGACTGAAAGCTGGTTCTTATCTGAGTTTCATGCGCTACAACCCGAGTCAATTGGGTATTCTTACTGGGCAAACAACTCGTGTGTCCCTCCCAACGACCATGGCTATCGATCCGGACAAAGCTGTAAGATTGGCGGTCTGCCTCAATACGTTCTTGAGGCTACATCTGCAGCTCAGATAGCCACCGCTATGAAATGGGCCAGCTCACGCAACATCCGCATCGTGATAAAGGGCACAGGACACGATCTCAATGGAAGGTATCTCGAGCGTGTTAATCTGAAGAGGAATACGGCGGGCTGACATCCACAAAGATCTAGTGGCGCTTATTCTTTGTCCATCTGGACACATCGGCTTCGTGATATGAGCTTCCAGTCTGACTGGCCTCATCCCTTGAAGAGCATAACCGAGCACGTCGCTGTGGTCGGAAGTGGCAACAACTGGGGAGATGTGCTCCAGGGGGCTTACTCAGTGGGAAGAACAGTCGTCAGCGGTCAAGATCCCACGGTTGGTTTAGGCGGATTCATCGGAGGCGGTGGGCATGGTCCTCTATCCAGTCACCATGGCCTCGCCGCCGATCAGGTTCTTCAAGCCACAGTCGTGACTACAGACGGTCGTATCCTGGTCGCGAATCCTGCTCTGAACCAAGATCTTCTCTGGGCCATTCGCGGTGGCGGCCCTGGCCTGTACGGAGTTGTCGTTGAGTATGTTTTACGAACTCACCCTTATCCCAAGAACGTGGTCTGGTCATCAATCTCTATAGACCTTGCAGAAAATGCGACAGTTGAGGCAGCTACGGCCTCTTGGAAAGCTATGGCGGTTCTGGTCAGAAGTCTTCCAGGCTTGATGGATCTTGGAATCACCGGAAACGGGTTCGCTTCGACATCAACAATCTCAACCAGAGACAGCCACTCATCCGTTCAAAGGGGCGTCGGACTCAAAATGACACTATTTGGCTACAACACCACGACCCTGGCACTGAAATCTTTGCTTGAGCCAACCAGCCGCAGAATGATGACTTACGCTGATGTTGAAGGCCTCAAAGTTACAATGATGGAGCCAAAGATGGAATCTGATTACTTGACCTTTTTCGATGTGCTAAACCCGAACCCCAGCGCATGTAGCGATATCAGTTTAGTCTCCAGTCGTCTACTCGGCCATTCCCAGCTCACGGATCTGTCTTTGGCGGACGTTCAGACACATCTTTACACCATCATGAACTCTCAGGTTGAAGGAGAACCCTCAAACGTGATTATTGGTCTCCAAGGCGGACCGGGTCCCAGAGATGTATCACACGACATGCGCGGTGGTCTGAACCCAGCATGGCGACAGGCCTACCTCCACCTCTTAAGTACCGGTGTCAAACTCAACGTAACCAACCCCAACATTCAGGGCGAGCTCAGGGTGGCGGCCGAGTGGATTGAAGAGCACAAGGAAGTTGTGTGGCGTAAGTGGGCGCCCGGTTCCGGCTCCTACATCAACGAAGCAAACCCCTTCAACGGGAACTTCAAAGAGGACTTCTACGGCGCAAGTTATGACCGCCTTGTTGAGATCAAGCAGGAATACGACCCGACCGATAGCCTCTACGTCCTTTCAGGGGTTGGTAGTGACAAGTGGCAGTACGATTTAAACAGCGGGATGCTTTGTGCTGAAGATTAAAGGTAACGAGAAGCTGCATTGCCATTCCCATATGTTTGTATATTATTGACTAGATAGACCTCATAGATTTCTGATGGATTCGATTTGACGATCTTCGTTAAATTCTGTACATTTATCGCGTTATAGCACCTATGCATGCGCATACTAGGGTTTGACTTTAAGGGAAATCGGAGCGGGAAGCCATCAGCGTTAATACGAAGTTGAAAAGTTAATAATGCGATGATTGCCCAAACACCATTCTACACGTGATGCTAGCATAATTTAGAAAGCACCGCTTTAACTCTCCAGCCACCAGCGACGCGACATGAGAGCCTTGTGTGAAATGAATGCATCAAGATCCAGGAATATTTGACAACGGCCAACTCATGCTTCCCTTCCAAAACGGTCCAAGGTAACTTGCTAGTGCTTCGATAAGAGAAGCCCTACAAGATTCAAAGATCCAAAACGGTCGAATTTGGTACACGAAAGCAAGGTAAAAAGCCAGGACAGCCATGGCCTCAGGATTGCGTAGATATAAGGCATCGATGTAATCATCTGAAATAATGATCGGCCAGGCGAGGGTGGCCTGGATTCTGTTGCTGAAACTTTGAGCATTGTGGTTTGCAAGATCAAGTACCCATTGCATCCGCTTCAAAGCATCAATAGATGCAGTAACCGCCATCCTTGAGGCATCCGGCAGTGATTCTAAATGTTCACGCAGAGGTTTAGTCTCGGTCCCGGCTCCCAGGTGGTCAATTCTGTTGCCAAGCTCCACGATGCCCAGAAGGGAAGCCAAATTTGAGGCAAGAATTTGGTCCCAATAATCTGCTGTCACGGCACGAATTCCACGGTGGACACGCACGTAGTCGACGAACGCGCTAACGAACTCGCCGAGATTATCTTGATGATCTCTGAATGTATTGTGTAGGACGTGGACTCCGACAAGGGAGGTGAAGAGGAAGGCGGGCACGAAGTTTGACTCGCTGATATTCCCACGGGCTTCGAGAAACTGACCCAAGGCACGCGTCTGCAGTTCTGTGGCGTACCTAATGTAGAGATGCTTGCGTGCCTGCGCCGTGGTAGATTGGTATAAAGCACTCACAGCAAGCAATTGATCGAGGCAGTAGGGAGCGGTGTGCGCGCTCTCGAGAGCAGTGTCTAACACCGGGCTCATGTCACCGCTGACTCCCAGATATTGTCCCATATTGAGGATGGCATGGTGGAGAAGAGTCATGTGGACGGCGTCATAGCGAACGGTTGGCTCCGTACCAACTGCCGCTGCCGCCGTAAGCAGATCGGTAGATGATGAAATCAGTGCCGGGCTGTTGTTACTCGCGCTCGTGCTTGCAACGGCGGCGACAGCGGCGTTGGGGCTAAGTCCGGCTTGCTGAGGCGTCGAGGCATACGAGCAGCTTCGGTTTCCCAAGGCACACTTGGCACATCTGGGTCGACCCTCGTCGCACTTGACATGCCTCCTCTTACAGGTGACGCAACCTGCTTTGGACTTTCTGTGAGTGCGACGACTCTCGTTTTGGCCTGGGCCCTCGGATGCCATGCGTATGGAAGCAGCAGCTCGGATCTGGGAGGGTCAAGATACGAGGCCAAATGCGAACCTCTAGAGGCACATTTGAAGGAAGACATTAGTTATGAGTTAAAAAGCCGCCGTAGGTCAAACTGACTAGACTAGCCTTTGAAACACGGTGCAGGTGGGGTTCAGAATACGAGTCAAACGAGGCGTGGCCAATTTACATGGTGTTAGCGCTTCGTATTGATATACGACATAAATGCGAGATGAATGCGAGACGACCCACTACCCTCTCTAGCTTCAGGAATTTAATGAATGAGGGTTTCAAACTGCAGCCCGTTCACAATAGCCACAGCAGAAATGTTGGTTGTCAAGGGTAGGGAGTACTATTGATAATGCAGGTGAAACGACGAGATAAAATACATTGTCTCAAAATGAGAATTAATAAAACATGAAGTGCCTTGGGACTTCTCTCCGCATCAGTTTGTCAAAAGAATCTAGGACTTCGTGCTCAAGCACCCTGTCTGTCCCAGCTTTTCCCGCGAGGTATCTGCCTTCTAATCGCCGGGCCAGCTGGACGCTTCGCCGTGTCTGACAAGAGATCAAGTAAATGATGCTCTGGTGAATACCTCGTAGTGGGTATGCGCCTGTGCCGACCGCCGCTGTCCCGAAGAAAACGTTAGAAACCCCACGTTGCTCTCAAACAGGCTGAAAAGAAGTGACAAACGTACCTGCGAGCAGCATCAAGTGCAAGTTTGCGATCGCTTTAGCAATGCCTTTGAACACACCAAGGGGACCGTCTTCTTTCGCGCCTAGATACGGCTGAACGAACAGGCCTGTGAGCCCGTCATAAAAAGCAAACACAAGCACCTGAAGCCAGGTTGCGAGGCCAGCCTTCCAATCTCGAATTACTCCGAAATCCCTAACTTGGTGACCCCACAGCCGGGGAAATTGCCACAAACCCTCGGTGAAGGTAAATGGGATCTCAACGATGGCAGTTGCGACAGCTTTGACCAGTGCTCCTAGCCCCAACACAAATGCTAATGCCGCTGATTTGGTCACAGCCACACAACTCCGACTTTCCTTCGGTCTGATGTAGAAATTGGTTGGTCTAAGCTCTATAGAGTTCAACTCATCTCTTTGGTCGTGCTGATCTCGACGAGACAGTGTTCTGACTGGCTGCTTGACGGCGCGTACTGCTGCCCTGGCGACGTCTGTGGTGGCGCCCAGCACGGCGGCGAGCACGCCAGTCAGAGGGTCCCAGCGACGGGTCTCGATGATGATCTTACGTGTTTCAATCTGTTGTAGCTTATTGCCATCGATTTTGAGATGAGTCATGAGAATGTCCGCAGCGAGCTTCGACAGTTTTATGGTGTTCCGTCTCCTCGAATACTCCCAAACGGCCGGGAGTCCTTTGATGATATCACATTCGACAACGTAGGGACGGAGGTGTTTGTGAAAGGATGCGACGGCCTGTTTGACGCCATTTTCAGACTGCATTTTGCTCGCGATGGACGCAGCGGCTTCCGCAGCTTGGGGTGTCGAGCAAAATTCTATCGCTTCGACGAGTCTCCCAACAGTTATAGCCTTTTGCGGGATAGGTTCTGGCCCAGCCCCAGAGCTTGCTACCATATTGCCCCAGAAAGGTTGACTGTTGGAATGGTTAGTCTGGTACACTCATATAGGTTCAGCGAGGTGTTGCAGAGAAATCAAGAAAACATACTCTCCAAAAAAGGGGACAATCGTGGTTGGTTTCCCGTAGAGCAGACCACATGCAGTAGTACCAGCACCACCATGGTGCATCACAGCACTCACTCGTTGAAACAGCCATTCATGCGGGCAATCTCCAAGGAACATCACATTGTCGCTCTGGGGTCCGTCCAGCTTACTCCAGCCCCGAGAGATCAATGCTCTCGTTCCGGTAATGCGGATCGCCTCCAATAGCATATGAGATAACGCATTCGGGTCATCGATCACGATGCTACCAAACCCGATGTATATAGGTGTAGGGCCGTCGCGCAGAAACTCGGCGAGAGCTGGAGGCGGTGTATAATCGGGAGGGTCGCGGAAGAAGAAACCGCACACATCTATTGCCGGGTTAACTAATGGTTAAGGGTGTGGTCGCTTGTACTGACCTACATTCTCGCTCCAGTCTCGAGGTTTAGGCACCAGAGCTGGCGACCAGCAGTATGTGAATGGAATACCAAGCTTCTCTGTTAGCCTTGGCCCCTGAGAGAAAGCTATATCCTCCAGATCCAACGTCGCTCGCCATTTGTTGATAATATCTCCGAGCCTGGCAAAGGATAGATTAGTTTAGGATCCCAGCTAAAAGTAGACCGAGAACCCTAGATGAAGGGTTTTAGGCTTGGAGATACGCACCCTTGCCAGGTTAATACTTCAACTACTCCATAGGACAGGTAGTTAACCTTCATCTGTTCCGCAGCATCTACTCGTCCAAACTTGACATTGACCAACGGATGCGGAAAAGCAGCTGTGCTTGTCCAAGGCATGGTAAACATCATATGCAAGGGAATTCCTAGAGCCTGGGCACAGTGAATATGGGCGAAACTGGGGGGGTTTGCAATAATGGCATCTGCCACAAAAGGGGCAAAAGTGATGGGATCCGGATTGACACAAGAAAGCCAACAGCCCCGCAGCATCTCTTCAACCATTATCCTCTTCTTCCCTATATCACCGGCTTTGAGACTTTGTACGCTAGGGATAAGGCCAGGGTTGCGAACCATGTACGCCATCAACTCTGTAGGATCGCCACCAATAGGATAGAACTCTAACCCAGAGTCATGCACAAAAGACTCAAATGTATTGTGAGTGGCGAGTCTCACCCTGTGGCCGTGTCGTTTTAACTCAGTGCCCAATGCGACGAAAGGTTGGACGTCGCCGCGGCTGCCAACGACTTGGATGACAATATTGAGTTTGGTTGTGAACGGTTCGGAATCAGCAGGTCGGGGCTGCGGAGCCAGAGCCTTGGACCATCTGTGACTGAGCTGTGGAACCCGACCGAGTTTTGGTCTCGAAGTGCGGGTGAGGGCATTGATCGTTCGGGAGTCGAGCTGTAGCCCAAGCCGGCCATCATCTTGCAGCACAATTAGTTAGCTCGCTGTAAGTTCTGTGACGTAGCTCCATTGGTGACTTTTGGGATAAGAACCTTGAACTGTCGGTTGTTGTTGTAAAGTTGCCTCCGCAAGGTTGCCTTCGTACTGGTAGTAATCCGTATATTGTGACATGGCGGCTTGGCCTGGTAGTATTGTGCTTGAAGGATGCCGGAATCAGAAATTACAATTCGGAAAGGCGGACATCTCACGGGAAGCTCCAGCCCTGTAGGTCTGGCTACTCTTTATGTGAAAAAGTTCCAAGTTTATCTTTTAATCACATGATGGAGTGAGTACGGTCACCAATCGTCACTGTACGATGGAAAGTGGCGACATGTCAATGATGGCATGGAACCTCAAGCCAAAAGATGACCTGAGGGTTTCATAAATGGTCAATGCGTGGCTCAGCTAAGAGCTTGACCATCACAGCCGCGTATAAGGTCAGACACGTATCACATATAGTGGCTTTAAGATCCGAAGGAATCCGAGGGTATGGCAAGTATACGAGTTTGGGAGTTCTAGGTAAAACGACTCGGGATTGGCTAATGAACGCTAAGCTAGCTTTTCGTGGCTCGGCTTATCTCCACTAAGCAATCTCAAATGCACCCCGAATGACTCAGCCTAACTGAACGCTCAGGTCTCCGTCACTAAGGTTGCATCTTAACCTAGCGAATGCTGCGAACCTGAGACAGAAGAGATTACCTCTGATGAGACTTATGGCTTCGCCACATATGGTCTTTGACCAACCATGGGTACATTGTCGAAACTTCCTGGGTCTTGGCCAAGGGGATCCGATAGCGTCTGGTATGTAAAGATCGCACTTGGGTGGCGCACTGTAAAGATGACTGCGACGATAATCATAAGCAGAGCATCAAGAGTATAGACGTAGATCTCCTTTGAAATCAATGAGCCTGTGTGACCTTGAGCATATTCTATCATCCGAAAAACGGATCGCACCATGATGAGCGCACTGGTAAAGTAGAGTACGGCCATGAATGCCTGCCATGGAGCACCGGTGCTTAGGGACCTGCTGGTCGGGCGACGTAGTATGCGCATGTGGAACATTGCTGTGACAACCATGAATCCCCCGAAGAATATGACCTGAATCGCGAGACCGACGATAATGATTGTGTTGCCGAGATCCTGGCTTCCTTTGTCGCTGGCGCTAGCGAGGAGCCCGCCACCTGGTGATGTGAGTTAGGATAGTTCCAAAATGCCCTGGGGCTTTAGATATCGCACCTCCACCTTGTCCGAAAAACGAGAAAATGTCTCCCATCAAGAATATCTTGGTAAGCAGGTCCACCCTGATCACTGAGTGATGCTGTCCTTCAAGGAAACGTATGAGCCGGCCCAATGCCATGTAAATCGAAGCTGCATAAAATGCAGGTCCGAGGAGGATAAACACGCTCTGCAAGATATAAGGCATAAGATCCCAGTCGGGAGTTTGCGTTGCCGAATATGCGCGGGCACCATATCCAACTGTTTCCACTATTCCTCGGTGTTATTAAGTCTCATCATTTCAGGGGTCAACCAAGATAATCGTACAAACGCATCCTATACAGAAGGGAATAAACGACCACGTCTTCATTTTGAAAACAAGCTGGAAGTGGCGAGCGGTAACGAGACCGAAAAGAACGGTAAATAAAATTGCCGCTGGCAGGGAGGGCTTGTAAAGATACAGCTTGAACCCATCAGTGTCGGTATCGGAGGCCGAATCAGATGCCATGGTAGGTATTAATGAAGAGGGGAGTTGACTGCTGGAAAGATATAAGAACTCAAATGGACTGTTCTATCATGCGAAGTATTGCAAATATTGCCTTTGAGTTGATTTGGAACGTGGGAACTATATAGACGGACCTTTTTTTACTTCAAGCAAGGCTTCTGCATCACGCAGAATTTGGGAAGCCTAGGATGTGGATCTTAAGAGCACAAATATGAGCCCTTACAGCCAGACCACTCTGGATGAATACGCGGCAGGGCATAAACGCGTAAAGACTCGGGTTATATCTTTGCTCCGTAACTGGAACCAACGACCGTGTCTATTGTGTGGATTAAATTGCTACAGGGCCAATGCATCGAGGTCTCTGATCATTTGGGATACGTGCTGATTTTCTTTTAGCCAATTACCATATGTGTGAATATATATGTAAAACTGTATACAAAGTAACTTTCACTAATCGATTATCTCTATTCTTCAATGCACAATTCTTTTGTTTAGAAGAACGCCATGGAAATTATCTGACCAATCTAAAGGTTTTCCAAACGCTATTTGAAGCGATTTCGGTAAGCATCAGCTGATATCACAAACCCATTGAACGATCTCCTTGCCCATGCGAAGTACCAACTTCTCATAGTGCGATCCGTTGTCAGCGAAAATGCTACAATGTGCTCCAACTTCATCTGTGCCCTCCATGGAGATGCGCACCCACATAGGATCAGCCTCCGGCGGAAGGATGCAGAATGTGCGCCCCTCATCCGGCTTTACTGCAACTTGCCTGTCCGCTTGACCTTCATCGGTCAGTCGTTCTTCTTCGGAATAAGTGTGACTTTCTGGAGCACCTTGAAATAGTGATAACAGACATCCAAGGAACTCCACTAGTTTTGACAAGAGCGCGCTGAAGCAATGCAAAAGATTGGTAGGCTGATATGGTCTCAAGCGATGGCCGAGAGGTCTGTACGCCTCGTTGGTCTTTCGTTCTTGCAGACACAGAAGATCAGTGGCGGATTGCTCGTAGTGCCCTAGGCTCTCCACCTCAGTGCTCCAAATATCAGAATCTCGGAAGAGGTCACCTAGTATATGGTCTTTTCCAGCTTGCTCAAAGAATCGTCCTTTGTCTGTGGCTCCATTACCCCATGAAGAGATTTTTGACCGCCAACAATACTGTCGTGGTGTGCAGGATGTGAAGAAATTCAGAAACCGGATTTTTTGTCGCCTTCCAAGATTTCCTGATTGCGCAATTTGCTTTTCGTATGCTGGGAACGACTCATTGTAGCCCTCAAGAGCTCGTAGCTCGTGATACCTAAGCCTCAGTGTCCAGGGTCGCCTTAGACAGCGTCCATATGCCCAGTGCGAAGTAAAGTAGGCAATATTTTCCCGTAACCAACACTGGAGGCCGCTGTTCCAAACTGACTGCATGGGTTTGGGCTCAGATGGTAGTCTATTCGGCCATACTTGGTTGTCGTTGAAGAAGGGGGGATTGAAGCCCGCATCTACTAAAGATGCGGATGGAATCGTTGGTAGAAGTCGAGAAGATGAGGAGTCCGACTCAAGCAATTGAGCCTTTGTTTCGATTTCTGTATGTTTAGGGCGGAACAGAGAGATGATGCCAGGAACGATAATGCCGGGGTTCAGGCCCAAGAAGGGACAGTCGAACGATATTGTGCCGATTATAGAATGGCGTTGCTGGTGATCCAAATTGAGAGATTCTTTCTACAGTTAAAATCAGTAACGACTTGAATTTTAATTAGAGGAGGAACTTACTATCTGAGCAGCTCGAGCAGCCAAAAAGCCACCCAGGGAGTGTCCTACTAGAATGACGTCTGTTTGGGAGTTCTCGTGTGGCTGAAGCCAGCGGCTGAAATTTTCTACCGCGATATCCATGGAATTACGTGTTTCGTACTGTGGGTAGATCTTTGAATAGACGACGTAGGTATCTCCGAGGGCTTGTTTGAGAAAGCTATGGACGTGAGAAGGGAACTGACCGAATGACTCTTCAGTCCCGCAAAACCCATGGATGTATATGAGAATCAACTTCCTCTTATCAGTCACGAGGTCAGAACCATTGAAAGATTGAGGCAACAGTTTAGGTGAGGGTTCACCAGACTCAGCGTAAGAAGCCATCTAGTTCGAGCTGAGTGCAGACTTAGCACAAGTCTAAGTCTCTGACATTACCCAGGCTAGTGACAGTAGGTTGGCCACGGAAGATATATCTAAAGAACTTCGCGCAGACACTGGGCTGATTCATTTTGTTAAACATAGATCAGGAGTCGCGTCTGGCATAGTCCCTTGTACGCCGTCGATTACGTTTGGACATGCGGCTTACCCGAGCCTAATTTAGAAACGGGATGCCCGTTTCAGAGGCTAGATCGATCGGCGCCAGCCTCGTATTTGCTCACTACCTGACGTTGCCACAGATTCCAGAGCTCCTTCGCCCTGTAGTCTCCACAAAGTACCTGTTTCATAATCTTGGCACATTTCTCTATTGTCTCGATACTGAGGCGCACCTTGAAGTTGGGGCCATGTCGTAGATACCTCGAAAATGAGATTGCGAAGCCACAAATGGCCGATTTGATTTCGCGTTAATAATACAAACTTGTGTCAAATCAACACTGGTCTGGTCTATGCGTTCAAGGATACCTGCGACAGCCAAGGGAAGACCTCAGAATGGAGACCACCTACAACCACAAGACCTATCATTCCCAACTGCAGGCTCATCGTCTTTCTTTCGTCGCTTCACTTCAGGTTAAAGCACTGTACCTGTAATGTCATGCCTCGTACTGACGCCGGCCTTAGGACAAAGCAAGGAGCCGCAACGCGTTTCCTGGTCCGCTAACTTCTTCGGTGAAGAAGCAAAGGCTCTCGGGTACGAGTACGATTACTTTCCGCGCTCGCTCGGAACCTGACTCGCTCACCACGGATAACCACAATTCACCCGTAAGAGGGAGCACTAAGGCACTCGGGTGTTATTCCTTTTACCAATGCCTGGGAAAATGGCTAGGCAGACTAGTCAGATGCTGATGATCAGTTCATCAACAAGGTATATTTGTCGTCCTCTTCGCGACCTCCGCCTGTTATCCCTTCACTGGCTCATTACAGCCCTCATACCCATTGCCTGGAGCACCATATCATGACTCTATCGGTTTCCCTTGCCGTGTCATGGCTTACCTTGGTAGGTGGGCAGACCATTTCCTATGGCCTTTCGACCTACACAAACCCAACTCTGCCTGACAGAATAGCCGTCACATTCTCGTTGTCGGCCCAGGGCATTAAGACTATACCCGGACCGTTGACAATAACAACAGTATTAGAGCACAAGGACGCAACGCTCTCGACCACCTTGGTGGCATTCCAATCAAGGTCCGGCGACTCTCTATCCCGGCCCTCTGCTGCAAATGCTTTTAGGAAGACCAAACAGACATCAGGGATCGGGTAGATAGACCTGAACTTGCCATCGACGATGTCCTTGTGTTCCAGAAGGACCTGGACCCGGCCACCCTGTTTTCTCACACTTTCTCGATTTGCATCCAACGGTGCGATAAGCTCGTTGTTGCGGACAATGCCAGAACCGCCCCCCTGGTCGAGAGTGCCCACTTCGTAGGATATAGACGCGTTCTCATAGTCGAAATAGACGGATCCGATGGCTGGGTATGGCGCTCCGTTTCCAAAGACCCCGAAATCCTTTTCGTTCTCCAGGGCAGTGTTCCGTTGGTATTCTTGAGTAGCACAGTGGCAGTGGCCCCCAATTCCCGGATAACCTTGGCGTGACCACCTCGAACATCGCGTGCAGGTACGGGCTTGATTGCGAACTGAGTGGTGTTGTAACCAAACTGATTGACGCTTAGAGCAGTGGCGGAAGCAGGATCCAGGGCAGGGAAATCCTCATGTTGATGTAGAAAGAAGTATAGCGTCAGGACTCTCTCGACCATTTCATTGAGGCGACTTTTTGTCACGTTATCATCGTTAACTGCATCTAGAAGGTAATTGCCAAAATACGAGGCACCATAGTCGGCCCTGACAGGTCCTGGCATTTCGAGGTTGAGCCCTGCGTTGGCGAAGGAGGCTGTGCCATGCGTCGCATACCAGTCAGGAACGACGTAGCCCGGAAGGGCGAGCTCATCCTTCAGTATCGAAAGCAAGTGATGGTTCGCGCAGGAATAGGTCTGATTCACTCTGTTGTAGGAGCACATCACGCTGGCAGTACCAGCTTTAACAGCGTCAGCAAAAGGCCAAAGGTACATCTCATGTAATGTACGTTCGTCAATGTTGGAGCTCAAAGCATTGATGACGGCTCCATCCTCCTCAGTGGTCTGTGTGCGCTGTGTTTCCTGTTCGTTTCCAATGAAATGCTTTGAGTACGCTTGTACACCAACAGATTGTATACCAGACACGGACACATGCATAGCGACGCCAGAGAGATAAGGGTCAGGGCCGAAACCCTCCCAGTTTCGCCCGCCAGAACACTACGGCCCATAGGACCACAGGATGGCCTGCAATTGAATGAGCACATGTACAACCTCGACAGAGTGAAAGTTGCAATGACTTACCCAAGAAATACGTGAGCACCTTTGGCCCTAAACTCTTCTCCAATGGCAACAGCATGTTCATGTTCATAGATAAGCCGTTTATCCCAAGTTGCAGCTGCAGTAAGGCCAGAGGAGAAGACGCTCACACCGTCTGACCTAGCATATCCAGAAGGGCCATCGGAAAAGCATATACCCTGGAATCCGAGCCTTTTAACTTTCCCAATTGTGCCAACAAGCCGGTCCATCTCTGCGATAGCCGCCGGTAGCGATGCCAATTTTCTCAGTCGTATTGAGCTGTGCTACAAAGGCTCGGGCTTGGTCAGAAGCATTTTTCCATGCTTTTCCCAATGATTAGCCTCTTTAATCGACTGAGAACAGGAGAGAAGAAGGACTCCATATGCGCAGGTACTTACAAGATGCTGGCTTCTGACTGAGCAGTGTCGCAGAAGTGGGGGAGACGAGAGCAAGGCATGCAAGGCTTATCCACAAAGTTGGGGCATACATTGTGTAACGGAGGATCTTGGTCTTGGTTTTCTGAGTGGAGGACAGAGAGACAGACGCTTGTTGCTCATTATATCTTCTGTTGGCTATCAATTCGTGCTGATTATACCCTTTTATACATCTTAGTCCATGTAGCTTCCTGCCTGAATACGTTTAAAGCGCGGGGTAAACGACCATCTGGATAAATAACTATGTCAATTTCCCAAAATGCGACGATTTTACTTTACTTGCTGTCGCGGTAGGGCAGAGGGGAAGTATTTACATCCCCTTATGGCAATGTCCCTTGGTAAATAAGCACAGTTTAGACTATACTAAATTTACATTATTTTTTCCTTCGTGTATAGCAACGCAATAATTGAGCCTCAAGTTAAGAAGTTTTAACAGTAAAAAGAATCCTCCCAAGTATGGAGGATCTGAATACTTCTTACTTGTTACTAGACTTATAGAACTAACTCCTGGGATGGAACAGATAGCATCGGTGCAGTCTCGGTCGTATACAAGAACTACCAGCTTCTTAGATGTAGCCTGTTTAGCCCTGCGGATAAATCAGAGCTTTCAGAGGATTTGATCACAATATAGTGACCTGAGCTTTAGGCTTCGCTTAGATCTGGATCCACAGTTCGGGTTATTGGTATCTAAACGAGGTCCTTAAACCATCGTAAACGAAAGCCAGGTTTTACAATTGAGTCTCGTTTAGACAAACGAACATGATCCGAGGCTTTATACCTTTTTCCTTGATCAAAGCCCCCTTAATCATACTATGTCGGTACGAGGCAGAACGGAAGCTAGCTGCTGTAGTTGAGCATCTGAGTAGCAGGTGGCGAAGGCGGCATATTCCCGTTTAGGCGCTAGAACGGGAACGGGAACCCGGTCGCGTGTCTATTACAAACGGGTTTCTCGACCTTGTGGAAATCTGCTTCAAAGGATATAACTCTTCAGGGTATATCAAAGACTTGGCTTGTTCTCGAAGCGATCATTAGTCAGAGGTTACAATCACAAGTCAAGGGAAAAACCAGAGGGCTTTGCTACAGGAAACTCAGAATCTAATAGTATAATCCTCCATGGCAAATTTAGATCTCAATAATAATAAATAACGTTGCATTTTAATAATATATAAGGACCTTTACTCTTGGTTATAATTAGGGACGGAGAAAGTACGTTGCGAACATGCGTTATCTGATGTAATCATGCCCAGACAATTAGACTACCCTACAGACCCAGAGCTTCCAGTAGACAATTGCAGACAGGCGGTATTTTTTTCAAGCTTTCCATATCCCTGGGTTCCTTGTCGATGGCTTCTCATTAGAAGAAACAAGCTCATTTTGGGTCTTGTTTGCCCAATGACGTGCGGTTGAGCCCTGGATGATTGAAGCCAAGCTTTGAACAGCACATGCTTGCCCGCCAATCTCCAGGCCATAACTTCATTGGTGGACAATCGATGGCAGCCGAGGCTGGTCTCACGATGAGAAGTACAAGTTGTCCTCCATAATTTTGGCCGTGAAACAGGTATTTTTGATCTAGCGGCTCCAAAGCTAAACCCAACAGAGGAGCTCAGAGTAAGCTTCTGCGCCACGAAAACGATCGACGTCCCGAATTGCCTTCTCGACTGCGATGTAATAACGCTCCTGCATGAAAACTCAGATTTTGGTGGCACTAGCTACGTAGTCGATACATCACTGTGGCGTAAGATCTCCACTGTGACCACTAAAGAGGCGAGAATGACAGGGCGTCTGAGATTTTGAGTGACAGAATTAGAGTACGGTCAAGGATCAAAACCATCGATAGATCTGGCAGATTCAGGCACATGGAAAAGGTAAATTGGTTGCATGTTAAAATACATCGTCATAGATCTTAGATCGTAGTAAATTGTGCAAAAAATGACGAACGATGACAGCATGAGCCACATACGCTGCCAAGGACTGTGGCATGAGCTCATTGATCTGCCAGAGCTATTAAGAGAGAGCTCAACAGCTTATTTGAACCACAAGCATTCTGACACTTGACTTCGAATCTACTCTCGCATCACTCAAATCATATCAAAATCTTCACCTATTCACAATGGCATCTGAACTTCCTCCCAACGCCCTTGGCAAATTGGCCTCATCCGTCAAGAACATCGTGACAGGTGTTCCATTGGAAGATCAAAACGAAACCAATGCCCCAGCCACCAAGCAAGTCGACAGGAGCCTCGACAAGACTGTTGACAAGACCGTTGAGACAACTGACGATGCCACCATTCACAAGGAGAAGCAAGCTCCCGTTGTGCACGAAGACGTCAAGTCTCACGAGCATGAGAAGGTTGATACTGAAGTCGATCACGAGGTCCACCAGGACCATTACCATACCACCATCCAGCCAGTCAAGGACAAGAATGTCCTGCCCACTAAGCATGTCTATGAGGAGAATGAAGTCGAAGAGGAGATCGACCACCGCAATAACGAGGCTAAGATGAAGGCCAAGGAAGAAGCTGCTAGGATCAAGAACGAGAAGAACGTTGAGGACACTACTCACTCAAGAGAGTATGCTCCCACGAAGGAGCATGAGCACATTCACCAGTAAGTACCAAGTTGCCGCCCCCCCTCTTCATGTACCGGAATCTTACATATTGTCCCAGCCATCTCCACGAGAATATTCAGCCCGTGATCGAGAGAGAAACCGTCCAACAGAAGGTCATCCACACTACAAATCACATCCACGAGAAGGAGCAACTCAACGACGAGTACCACGAGGCCACTGTTGCTCCCACAATCTCCCTGGACGAGTTCAAGAACGGCGGTGCCAAGACTGGAACTACTGTCACCAAGGACATTGAGATGCCAGTCTCTGGCGTCAAGGCCACAGCAAAGAAGAGGGAAGCTCTCGGAGACGTGGATGTCGAGGAAGCTTCCAAAGTTGGTAAGTCAAAAATCACTCTGAGCCAGAAGCCTATGAAATAACAATTTACTCAGAATCAATCTAGTGAAAAGGAAGAGAGGGTCTTCCTGTACAGTAATTGACTGTAAATGCTCATGCCATCGATGAATAAGGTATCATGAAGAAGAATTGTATTAATAGGACGGAGTTAGGATATCTATTTATAGTGCTTTGGTAGCGAATGAACAGTGCCTGACTGAAGCAAGTAATCCTTTCGCTGCGATGTGATATGTTTCTTCGCCAGCCCAATACATGCACGTGTAACTCGGCACATGTGTATCTGCATATGTTTCAGCGAGTTCAAATTCAGAGTTTTTGCGCGACTTTTTATGAGTGCATCTGGAAAGTGAGTTCGTGGGTCAATATTTCTTTTTCGAGCAGCACCTGGGGATCCAATAAGCACTACATGAAAGTGATACTCGTATCTGCGACCCAGCAGGATCTGCTGTTATAAACTCTCTCTATATTGGTAAGTCGCACCCAAACTTGTGCCTATAACAGCTCGATGGATGGAATGCTTGATCAAAAAGTTTTCAAGTCTCAGCGAGTTCCTTCCGTTACCAAGGACCATGGTCAAGGTTGCGATGTAAGACTAGTGCTTAATTCTTGTTGGACCCAAACTGATAAGTTGGTTTGATAGTGGAAGTTCTACTCATATGGGAAGCACAATGCTGTTTCTGGAAAGCGACCTTCAAGGCGGTTGCTTCATCATTCCAACAAGTATCCCATATCCTACTTCCGAGCTCGTCGATATGATCGACAATCATGGGCTCACACGACTCGACATGTTTCCGGTCTTCTTGTCGCAGCTCTTCCGCCAAGCGCGCCATGACCCATTGCTCTTCAGGAGTTTTTGCCTTCTAGACCATATAGCATACGGGGGTTACCAGCTCGATCCTTGTGAAGAGGCTTGGGCCCATGGTCATAATTTCTATGTTATAAGTGCCTTTGGGTCTACTGAAGTGGGACTGAATCTCATTTCCTATGGGGCCCAGGAGGCCGCACTGGGGCCGGTTTCACTGTCGGTATTCGAATTTGTCTCTGTTGGCGATGATCAAAATGCTCAAGAACATCTAGTCGAGCTTGTTGTCCCCCCTGAGTCCCCTGACTGTCCTCACTATAGTCTGAGAGATGCGACGTATGGCAAGTTTCACACTGGCGATCTATTCTTAGAGATCGCGCTTGGAGAATATGCCTTCAGAGGCCGCGATGATGATTGGATCAAGATGGAAATGGCTTTGCGGTGCGATGCCAACTCAATCGAGGTTGACGCTCTGCGATGCTGTGGAGACGACCTGATTCACGCTGTTGTCGCAATTGGCGTCGAGCATCCTTCGCCAGCCATTGTCCTTGAGCCTAAGCACGATGATGTCCGGGAGTCCACAGAGAAGACACGAGAGCTTCGGCTCAAGGTTCTGCAGCGAATTACTCCATTCCACCGGCGATGATACAAGCACGAAAGAATCGAAGACGTGAATCAGATCTTTGTTGTCCCGCAACGTTCGTTGCCTCGAACTGATACGAAGGGCAATATCAGAAGATTGAAAGTTGAAGAGCAGTTCAAGCAGAAGCTAGACGAGATGTTTAAATAGATACTCAGGTACTGCTACTTAGTCTAGTAACAAAACGATGATTCCATACTGGCCATGCCGGGCCTCCCTGGGTTGATCTTCCTCGTAATCACAGACTGTTCAATAGCTCCTCTCAATGCCTGTCTGGGAAAGCCAGGGCCTTTCATCAAACAAACCGCTATCTTTGTCAAGTTTGCTATGAGCAAATTCAGACTGACCCGTACTCTCGGCGAGTCTATCTGCGGTCGTGAATCTTTTGATGGGAAAAGGTTGACAAAACTCCAGCTATCTGGCTGCGCGCAGCTAGGTTCTAGGCGATTCCCCGACAGGATCGCCAAGGCACTCGAGTCCAGCTCGATGGTCTCTTTATCCACAAAGCGAGCGCCAAGTGCCATGAGCTGTTTCTCGACACCAAGGACACTAAGGAACTGGGGGGCAGATGAGTCAACCATCGAGGCATTCGTGGCATAATTCGCAAGGTCGCTACCGGAAAACTCTTGATCCCACCATCTCCCTCCCCAGGGTAACTCTGCCAAGGTCTGAAGTTCATGCTTGCCAGGGCCGAGCAGCCATCGCATTCTCAAGATCATTTCATCCCTTTCGCGGTAGCGAAGGGTCGAGCCAAACATACGACTCTCTTCTGATAGTGGAATTGGTGCATCGATTGATCTGCTGAGAACAAGGCAGCCAACCTTGAAGCATGAATGTGTAAGACGACAAATGAAAGAATTGAGAGATAGAGGTGGCAATGAGGATGTCCACAAAAGAGGGCTGAGAGGTGCCGGGATCGTAGATGGTGGGTATTTTGCTTGGGAGTAGACCGTTGGAACTACCGGTAGCGGCACCGTTGTGTCTTCAAACAAAGGCATATTTATGGGGGAGTCGTCTGTAAGGGGCATTGGGGAAATGGCAGTCATCGGGTCGTCGGGAGTAGCGGTAATGGTAATATTGGGGCTTGAACTAGGAAACTCATCTTCAAAGCCTTTGGGAGAATGGTATTGGGTTTCAGTGGCTTTCTCTCGAGCCTTACGGGCCTTGGGGTCCTGTTCAGGGTCTCCAGCTTCATTGGCCAATGTAAGAATATCGGCGATAACGCCTTGGATGCTGGCTATCATACCAGGGCTCTGTTGGACGGCATCCTGCTGTAAGAGCCCATCTGTGAATTCTACCAAGACAGTGCTCATTTTCTCAATCACGCCTTCAAGGTGCTTTATTCGGTTGCAGCGTGTCTCATCGACTTCTTGTTTCTTCTTCCGAAACTTTAGCTGCGCTGCCCTATTACGCGCGCGCCGTTCCTAAGTTTTTAGTTAGGTGACTCGGCAGATTTGACATAAGAGACCCGAATAGGCTTTTACCTTGGCCTCTGGGCTGGGTGGCTCATTAGAGCGAGGAGACATTGTGACAGAAGCGCTGCACGTTTGTAAGCTGGTTGTGTTTTTGCTAGTTCAAAGAGAGGGGAGCAATGATGAGCTGTGACAAATTGATAACTCTTGCTTCAGAGAAGATGAGAAGAAATTGCCTTCAGTGGATTTGAACAGAAATGTTTCAAGGCACAGGGCGCAAGGCGCAAAGCGTAAGGCATAAAATGATGTTTAGTGAAGGACGGGGAGATAATCTGGGCGATCGGACATTCCACTGAGGAAAATGACATGAACTTGCCCGACTGGACCCGCTTTTAATGCCAGAGTCAAGGAGCTAACTTAACTGGGACAAGTTTCATCGATTGTCAGCGACCATCAACCTCAACCCCAATTGACACTGGTATTAAAGAACCTCGGCTGAATCAATTCAATGCGGGCATCAGTTTAAAGAACAGAAAAACAAACATGGCATCTCGCCCGTTGATAACGCTTTTCGATATCCCAAGTATAACACGAAAATCGTGGTCTCCAAATGTCTGGAAAGGTTTGATACCGTCACATCAAGGTCGCGCGCGTTAGACTGACTGTTCAATGGTAGCCCGGCTCGTCCTCAATTACAAGGCATTGCCATATACCACTGAATGGCTCGACTTTTCCAACCTCAGTACCTATATGCAGCCTCAGTAAGTCCCTAAGGCCCCAAAACTCGTTTACATCAATCTTTGACACCAGCTCAGTGTGAAACCGAATGAGCCGCCTTTGAGCCCGCATACTATACCCTGCATCCTGTTGCAGGAGGGCGAGACCACAAGGGGTATCATGGGGTCAAGGTCTATTGCCGAGGAATTAGAGAAGCATTTTAGCACGCCGTCACTTCAATTCGACTCAGAAGAATCCGCCAGGGTCGAAGAATTAGCAGAGAAGCTACTGATAAGCAGCAGACCGTTATGGGCACATTTATTACCCAAGAAAGTTCTTGTGCCATCAGATCGGCAATATTATGCAGACACACGAGCAAAAAGATTTGGAATGAGTCTCGATTCATATTATAGTGAGCATGTCAGCCAGCAGCTTTGGTACCAGCTTGATGCTATGTGTCATGAGATCGGAGAGGTACTGGCTGAGACCCCAGGACCGTTTTTGATGAATTACCATCGTAAGAACAAAATCAGCCTCAGAAATTTGATGATGTGGTCGCTAATGTGAGAAGCCTCGTACGCTGACTTTACTGTCGTTGCTCTTCTTCGATTCTTCAGCTGTGTCGATCAGACCATGTCAGATCACTTCTACAGTGCTGAACCGCAGCTTCTCAAGCTGTATGAGGCCTGTCACCTGTGGCTTGAACGTGATTATTGATTAATTGGATCTTTCTACCTACATTGGGAAGAATGTTTTAGTCGAAATTCAGACAGAAGAGTCAATCAAGTAGGTCCAGACAACCCGAGTTTTGACCTCGCATCAATATCGTGATTTCGTAAACAGGAAAGGGGAGGCAAGAAAACTTAGGACCTCTTTTCTAAGTGACAAAAAGGTTAGGTAAAATTTAATATAATTTAGTGTAGATTTTGTGGACCTTAGATTATATATTTCTGACACCTTGGTCCAATGTCAAAGTTTTCTTGAAATTATAGAAACAATCTAGCTGCTGAGGTAGAACTTTTAACCTGTGTATACTAAATTATTTACTATACTACTCTATATCACCTATTATAACATGAGGATATTATAGCTAATTGTTGTTTGATACAAGGCAGTTGCTCTTGCCTTGTTGATTTTGGTTAGTGGTGCGCCCCTCGCCCGGGTAGGTAGGTAGGCTCAATGCAAAACAAACAACACTTCGATATCGCCTATTGCAAACAAGCTGATTTTTCATCTTCAATCATGGCAGATGCAACGATGCCGGTAGCCAAGAGAGCCGCACCGCCACCGACACAGGCGACTTCCGCGCCCACGAAGAGACCACGACACGAAAGCGACGACCCCGGGGTCCATGTCATCTTTGTTGGTATCAGCCAACACAAAGACATCGGTGAAGAGGGCTACGACTGTAGAATTCCCTGCGACCCAGCTGTTGGCTCATTCGAAGCGGGCGACGTCCTAGGCGGTTTGACGCCTGAAAGACTGCAGCAACTGGAAGATAGCCTAGGTCCTGGACTTGTCAGCAACATCGGCCCCAGAATGAAACAGAAATATGGTCTAATCGATTTGGCTGGTCGTATCGCAAGAGTACAAAAGTCCAGACCAAAGCTCATTGAGCCCTCCTGGAACGAACGCCTCGTCCTTCTTCATCAGCAGGTTCTCGCGATGCTTTGGGCCGAAAGATCTCAGCGCATGACTATCGAATACCGCACGCTTGATTGGATCATGGGCCTCATAGAAAAAGGAGGCAATTCTCTCGCTAATCATTTGTGCGATCACAATCGGCCGGTTCTATTCTACATCCCACTTCACCCACGCGACTGGACCCTCCATCCTGAAGTTCGTCATCTTTATGAAGCCATAGATGCACTCCAGCATTTATTCAACGACATCAGCGTATTTCCAGGATACCATGAGAGCTGGAATTATGGATACAGAATTGCCGATATCAGGGCATTGGACTCTATTGCTGTGAAAGACTCCACACCGGAATCATACCGTCACAGGCCGAAGACATGCCTGGGCATCGGAGACTGCAGACTGGATGAAATACAAGGGCCACAATTCGTCAGGTTCGCGTTTAGCGAGCGCGAAGACTACATACATCATAGCACAGCCCCCAACTATAACATGTTTATTCATAACCAGCCCTATACGCAGGGATCCGCCATGAGAGTTATTCACCAGCAGTGTTTTCCATCGGTCTCCAAATGGGGATACCTACGCGTTTTTATGGTTAGCGATCAGATTATCGCCCGTAGCTTCTCCTCATGCGACCAACGAACAAAAGTACACAACACGTCGACTCTTCGTCATGATTGCCACTTCGACTTTCGCGCCGATGGTTTTCGACAACATCCAGATCCGGATCAAGTGACTGAGCAACAAGCAAAGCTAGAAGAACTCGACAGCTTTTGCAAGTGGTGGCAGCAGCAACTCACGACGTATGATCCTGAACTTTTTTAATCTCTCAATATCGGCTGTATCATGAGAATTGGTCTATCGGAATCGAGTCTTGATGGGAATTTCTTCATAATCGGGGTTCAAAGATGGTTTGCTTCTCCCTTTTTCAGCATGGACTTGACAGCCAAGCCATTCGATCAGCTTTGCAAGGCATTTGGTGAGCAGTTTGCACGAGTTTATGGGTCCTTTGCTGCGGAGGATGTACCTGATAATTGAAGGAGAGTTGTTTAATGGTTAGCGATGGCTTGTCTTGGTAGGTATCTTCTAGAATTTTTGACGCTAATACTATTTTGCGACCTTTGCTTTTGCGTGCGTTCTGTTAGCCTCAGGGAGCAAAACTTCAGACCTTGACCATAGGTGCCAAAATAAACTCATCAAAGAGCCCCCTGAAGTTATACTAATTCACCTAAGTATTTGCATCATTTAGGATCGATAGCCTCAGTTTTCTTGCATCCTCTAAGACTCCTCCAAAATAGCTGCTCGTGGCTGTGTGGTTTTTGGCGGGTCATCCAATGCCCCGCATCCATGATTCCCCGTCACGTTGCCCTCGGCATCGTCAATACAGCACACTTTCCCAATGTAAACAACGTGATAGGTCTCCTCGGTTCAGAGGCGTCATGACATTATTCCCGGTGAGTTTAATAAGGCTGATGCGTTGACTAAGTCCCAGGACCCTGGCATGATTGCCGCTACCCCAGGTTGACCAGCTGGGGACCCCCGGAGTCAATTGATGAGGTACCCTGGAGCTTGCTCTGTGATTGAGCTGTCTTGGTCATCGTCTCTTCTGAAGATGATATCTCTTGTGACGCAATATGATCTGATGTTTTCGAATCTATGTAATCTGGATATTGTCTTGTCCAGCTGAACATACCGTAAATCTTTGCCGTGAGCTCTAGAATAGCCTTTCAAGGTTGATTTAATCAGATACGCACGTGAAATGGTTCGCGACAGCAAGCCAGTCAAAAAACGGTAATAAATCGTACGAGAACCATATCCGGTAAGAAGAATCGGCAATCTATTCATCCAGAAGGTGGAAAAAGTTGGAGAAACAAAGATCCGCTTGGTGAGGAATCGGCATCTTGGTACGGCACCTGCGGGTAAGAATATTTCCCCCGGTTCGGATCTCTTACCCCAAGATTGTTCTAGTGAAGATGGACCAATAGAGAGCCAGTATTTGCAATGGTCATTCTGACGTGGAGAGCCGACTTGAATTGCCGCTACCGTTGGCGTCCATGATCCACGGCCCCGCCCCCTCCAAGTCTCCCGGCTACGGAAACGGCAAACGACATTTCATTTTCAATACTTAACGGCGCGACCTCCACGTTCTGACCCAAACGTCTTTTCCCTCATCATCACCCATCCCCAGATACCCCGGATCTTATAAGTTCTTCTTTTTCTTCTTCAGACACTTCCCTCCAACCATCATCAAAATGGCCTCCAACGGTACAAACGGCACCAACGGCGCCACGGCGCAATCAAAATTCGACCCCAACTTCACAGACCATGTCATCGGCCTCATGAGCCCCGAGACCGACCCTCGCCAGCGTGTCATCCTCACCTCTCTCATTCGTCACATGCACGATTTCTGCAGAGAGGTCGAGCTCACTCAGGACGAGTGGATCATCGGCGTCAACTACATCAACTCTCTTGGCCAGGCCTACAAGAAGAACCGCAACGAGACATGGCGCGTCTGCGACATTCTCGGAATTGAGTCGTAAGTTTCCCAATAAATTGCGCCCGCCAGATCAATCGCTCACAGTCGCAGCCTCGTCGATGAGATCAACCACAAGGTCGTCACCGAAGGCGGCAAGGCCCCTACATCCTCCAGCATTCTCGGTCCCTTCTGGTCTCCCGAGACCCCTTTCCGCGACCTCGGCGCCAGCGTCGTCCAAGACATGCCCAAGGACGGCCAACTCACATTCTTCCACGGCGTCATCCGCGACGTTGATACCGGAAAGGGAATCCCCAACGCCGTTTTCGACATGTGGCAAGCCAGCACCAACGGCAAATACGACGCCCACGACCCCGAGAACCAATCGCGCCACAACCTTCGCGGCAAGTTCCGCACCGACGCTGACGGAAAGTTCTGGTTCTACTGCCTCAAGCCCACCGAGTACGCCATCGACACATCTGGTCCCTCCGCCGAGCTCCTCAAGATCATGGGCCGTCATCCTTACCGCCCTGCTCACATTCACATCATGGTCACCCATGATGATTACCTCGGTGTTACTGCTCAGCTGTACCCCAACGACGACCCCTATCTCGAGACCGACACTGCTTGCGCTGTCAAGGACGATCTACTCCTTGACTTCAAGCCTGTCAAGGATGAGCCCAAGGGCGCTGTTCTCGATGTCGAGTACAATGTCAACCTTGCTTCCAAGAAGTACAAGCCTGACAACACCATGTTGATGCAGAACGCCAATCAAGACAAGTTCTAAGCAAATAGAAAAGAAAGAGAAGGGAAAAAAAAGAACGAGGCATGAGGATGTATATACATAGCATTGAATGAGTGGACTTTAGCGTTTGATTCATGTATTCGATGACTACTATAGTACTAAATAGTAAGAGATGAAAATTACTGCATTCTAAAACCATTGGCTTTCCATAAACCTTTGCTCACCTCGACTTGTTGTCATGTACTAACGATATACCCACCCGCAAATCGAGGGAATAGGATCAAGGATAATGCTTGTTTCATGACCATCAAACAGATGATTTCACTGGACGAGGTGAGGTGTGCGGGGTCAACCAACTGAACATAGCATTCTCGATTTCACTGCGCTGCAAGTTTCGACCTGATAAGATATTCTCAATTTATAATAGACTTTTATGAACGCAAAATAATACGACTTCTCCGCGTTGAGGCTTCCTTGGAGTTCCCGTGTTGAAACTATAGCATCTCAAACCGCAGGTCAAATCAAACCACCCGAGTCATCATGCTCCTTCTAAAACCAGTATTGGCCACACTACCAATACCAAACGAAGGTAAAACTCGTATCATACGTAAAGGTGTAGCAAAGCCAGTGTAGCGCCGAATGACACTAATGCGATCTTTGATCGTCATGCGAACCTGACGAGCATGGACGTCCAGACCGAGCAAGTGAATCGGAGTACTGACTATCTGCGAGGCAGCTGGCATAAATAGCTGAGCCATCTTGAGCCTTGCGTCATCAGACTGAAAGATGTTGGCAAACGGGGTAATCGACGCGAAGGGGAACTCGGCAAGCTTGGGAGCAATCATGGTAGGCAGGTTGAACGAAGCGTATATAGTTACCGCATCTCGAAGGGTAAACAGTGCATAACTCAGCAGAGGTGTCGACATGCCACAAGACATTCTCGAAAAGTATGCGTCTTTGAATATACTCAGCCCTGAACTGACGGTCGTGGTAGCGGCGAACTTGGCAGGAGATGAGCAGACGATGGAGGGATCACAGTCGTATTGGACGGCGTTGAAGGAATCGAACATGTTGGCAGTAGCGTAGGTTCCGAAGTAGACGAGGAATGGTATGAAGAGAGAAGCAAATGTTGCCTTGGGTTTGGATGCCCACTTTCGCATGGATGATTTGATGGAGGTGTTGCTAGTTGCTTTGTTGAAGACAAGTCTAGGACGACATTTATTAGCATCCATGGTTTCTTCAAGACAATATGATATGATGATTTTGTCTGCTGATAGTATATATGAGATTCTGGGGACTCACTTATCAATAGCTGTTACCCAGGGAGTGACCAAAGCAGAAGCGAAAGCCGCAGCCGCAAGGTCAACAGCGAAGTACTGAAGTGTACAGCGCTGCTGCTCCCTAATACTCATAACATCCGTCATTTTGACAATCCGCAATCAAATGCAATCAATTGAGAATAATGAAAAGGCTAAAGAACAATATTAGAAGGTTATTGAGTTCTAGGTTATGACTCTTATTATAGTCTACGGCATTTGATACCGAGACACCGAAACACCGTGAAACCAGCCATCCAGGGCGACCTATCACAACACTTTGGCGTGCACAAGCGCTGAACTACCGCTGTAGCTACTATAGTACAGTAGCACCCAGCCCGTCATCATCCGACAAGGCATTCCTCAACAAAATCACCAAATGCTTGCGATCATCACGAAAACAATCATGTCAGGGTACCAATCAGACCTCGCGTAAGCTCACCTTGTGGGCCGTCGCGGTGAGCGGTGCGGCTGCGCTAATCTCAGCCGTCTTGCATCGGGTTAACCAGGAGCCCATGGTTGACTCACCTAGGTGACCATTACGTGGCAGGAATTCGGCTACGCTCGGAATTTGTTGAGACGCGATAATCATTATTAGTTGCATCACCGTGGGTGGTAGTGCACGGCAAGTTGATGTCTAGACCGACATCTGCTCTTATTCGGCTTCTGGATGACTCCGCGTTTCCCCACGTCGGCATAAGAATTGAGTTGAGTTGAGCTGACTTGTTGAAGCGCTAGAGCTAACCCCGGATTCATTGTCAGGGGCGGGGCACGGACCTTGTTGTCAGCCCTGTTCACCAACATTCATCAGCTACGGACTCTGGTAATTGCGGTAGTGAAGGGGATGACAGGAAACCCGACACTTCTATACTAATAAGAATAGAATGAATCCGTAGAAACCTTCTTTTTTTTTTTTTTTTTTTTTTTTTTTTTTTTAAACAAGGTGAGTAAGCTTTTTGGCTAGGCCCTTTTCGCCCTTGATATAGAGTCTGAAGTCTTTCGAGGCTACTGTACCTCGTCTGACTCATGGGCGGCAATGGGAGCTGAATGCCAACTTCTCCCGGTTCCTTGTTATTCATTGGACCTTAACATGGCCTATTATTCTACCAGCCGACTTTCCATCCGCGACACTCGCCATCTTGACAATGTTATCCCCCTTATGAGTTGCGTTGCTCGGCTTCAGACGGTTTATCCAATGAATACGTTGGAGACCTGTACTCCACTTCAAAGGTCAAGCGTAGAACAGGTTAATGAGTGGCATAGCCGATGATTCCCGGCATGGGACATCAGCCCTGCTGCTGGTCAGTCCAGTCTAGCTGGATCAAGTAATCTGGAAGAACAGAAGATGAGTTGCCGCAATGTGAGCCATATCATACCGACTCTGGATCTTGGTTGATGCTGTCAAGTTCATCATCAATTTAGCTCTAGCTGCCGCTAACCATTGCTTCGTCCATATCTTGACTGGACCCCTGTAATTCGCTTCCCCTAGCTTAAGAACAATTCAGTCCGTCATACGAAGCGTATCCGTAATCGGAATCAAGGCAGACTGTGAAGCGTGGAAGGTACAATGAGCATTATGGATCCCGCTACCCACTTCATGATCGAAAAGCATGTAACTGAGATTCTGTTTGCATATATAAACATAAATTCTTTGCTAAAACTCGAAGTATATCGTGATAAAACAGCAAACTCTAAGAAGACATCCCATGAAAAATAAGCATAAACCTCTTCATACCAACCAGGAGCGGCTGGGTACCTGAACTACCGGTGGTACGGATTATGTACATCATACAGACTCGGCAGTCGTTGAGACTTGCTTGTCGGCAGCCCCCGCGTCCAAGGCTGCGCCCTGATGTTCTTTGGGCACTTTGAAACCAAGGTGCTTGAGATAGCTGCCCGGAAAGAAGACATTGTAGAGGAAGACAACGAGCAAGATGGGAAGAGTGTCAAAGACATATAAACTGTGGTATACTTGTTAGTTTTGTTCGAGGATGTAGGACAAGTTCTACTTACTACCACTCCTTCTGGTGAGTAGTGCCATCCTTGCCACCAGCGAAGTCAATTTCACGATAGATTGAACGGACCTATTCGTGGTAAGTAACTGAGCCATAGATAGATAGAAATTTTGACCTACAAGAATGAGGAGGCATGAGACATTGACCACAATGAGTAGGGTCTGCCACTTCTTCACAATACCATGCTTCTCCTGATTGTCCTTGGCAAAGTCGGGGCTAAGTCGTCTCGCAGCGAAGTGGAAACGGATGGCGGAGACAGTGAAAAGACCAAAGCCAGCAATTTGAGTGCTCACACCGACAAGACCAAGCGTTTTGCCAAGATTGAGCTTGCTCTTCGCATCAGGATCGGTGGGGTCGGTGCCGGCGATGAGAACTGCAGCGACAAGTTGGAGGAAGAGCGAGATGATATCGAAGCCAACAAAGAGAAGAGTGATGAAGCGAGCTGCATTGTAAACTATTAGTATCCCTCTCTCACTGTCGCTGCGAAGAGTACTTACCAGGGACCCAGAGAAATCGAAGGGTTCTCGACTCTGGGGGAACAACCCAGAAGACGATCCTAGCGAAGATAACATAGATGACACCGGCCATCAAGACTGGGGGCAAAATCACAAGTGTGAATTGAAGCACGTAAGGTCCCTTTTCCGTCGGCTTGGTAGCGGATACGGCTCGAGCTGCGTAACCAATGACCTCCACTGCAGTGATGATTAGCTGCTAAGTAAGGTATTTGTTGAATGATTCACTTACTCGCAATAGCAAGCAACATAAATAGCCATATCCAAGCTTTCTTCCGAATGATTTGCCAGAGCGTGATACAAAAGCTCACTCCATAAAGGCCGGCGACAACTCCTGCCAATGGCTCGGAAGGATTGTAAAGATAGTAAGACTTGGGTGCGTCCATGATAGCGGATTGTTCGAGGCGATGTTTGTAGCTGAAGAACTGAGATCTGATTGTGTGAATTGTCTCAAACTGCATCTGCATCCAGACCTTATATAACTCCAACTTCATTCACCTCTGCAACGGCAAACGCCGTGATGGCTTCAAATCAAGCTCTAGCCGATAAGCCACATCTGCACAACTGGAATTTTAGCACCATAGCAATGCCTCGCAAACGCGTCAAAACTAGCAACGATTAAGCCACGCTGAGTCCGCGTTCGTGCGTCCAACGCCATGGCTAATACTTAGCACCCAATCAAGAGCTGAGTTCCAGAACACCAACGCAGCCAGTCATATGTGGCGCTTCCTTAGAGACAGACGTCACCGGTCAGTTGTTACGTGGTATGCAACCACATCGAATCACAGTCTCTTTTTGGTGAGACCATTCGAGCTTAAAATTGTAACGTCTCGAATTGATATGGAGGCTTGGCTTAGGGCCCTATTGTTGGGAGATTAGGGCTGGGAAGCCTCAATAGCCACGTTGTTTTCCTCGAATGGGATTCTTGAAATGATTTTAACTCTAAGCGAGGTCTGAAGTGGCTGAAGCAGCTGAAAGATTGTCATTGTGGGCGTTGGAGATGATCGAATCGAAGAACTTAGAACCTCAAGTGTTGTTAGATGACGCAACTCTTTACGAGCTCCAAATAACCTTGAACATTTGTGACCAGATACAGGTAGAGAAACAATCTCCAGATTATATTACGGCGTTACATAACTCCTCTTGTGGCATCTTCATGAGGGGCAGCCGATAAAGCTCATGTGTGATGATGCTGGGAGCTAGGTTCTAGACGCAAGTGAGAGGCGTTAAGCTTTTTAAATACAGCTCTTATGCAAGACAAGCATTGCTAGTAGCTATAAAGTTCATAGGTTGATTGGGCTGAGCCATTGGGCCAGAAATATCAGTGGTGCAGAGATAAATGGAAATGAGGATTAGCTGCTATAGCCTCCGTAGACGGTTTGGGTCTTGTCCGGCTTGCGCTTTTTCCGGGTCTTGTGCCGTCAACCAAGTTATTGTGTTGCAATCAAGGAAACTCAAATCAGGGACAGAAATCTATTAAAACCTGGGAGAATGGGAAACTAACAACCAGCAGAGACCCGCTTACTGGCACAGCACTGAAGATACCGCTTCGAGTATGTCACCTGTGTGATCACTGATCATAGTTGAAAATGCAATGTTGTGTGGTATTTGCTGAGTAGTGGCCAACTGAAATATCTACTGCAACCCTTCAACGGGGAGACGGCCATTCCGCGACGAATATAGACTGACTGGTGCGATTGTCTCAGAGCTACGGAGACTGCACACGCAATGGCTTAAGCTGATAAGCTATCCGATTAGAAAATAAGAAGCACTTTAGGACTCACATAAGTTTCATCAGATATCTTTTCAATAACTGGCCGTTTTGAACTTGGCGATACTTGGGGCTACGAGTGAATATCCTGAGCTATATCTGGCCCTTTTCATCAATCTGACGTGACCTATCGTACCACATTATATGCCACACAGAAGTTCCCTGCAGTGTTACTATTTGGATGCTCAGCGTTACATGTACAATGACGTCCTTTGCCACAACACTACAAGTCGGTAGACCTTGAGAGAAAGACCCTGCAAGTTTCTCAAAACATGGATGCTGCGCTCCTTAACTTATGTTTGCAGACAAAGATAAAACCTCCAGATCTGGCAAATCAGCAGACGCATGCCCGGTCTCACTGCCCAGTAGCGACTTCGCTTTCTTTTCGCAACATCCTTATTTCTCTGGGAATAAACTGAGTATGGACGAGAATGCAAAGCTCAATAGGCATCAAGCCTTATCTTCCTCTGATTCGATCCGCATCCTGCACCTGAGACCAGGGTCGGGAAGCGAAACGATTCGCTTCTCTTTGGAGGAAGTATTGCTGGGCGAGACAGATGGTAGATACGAGGCAGCTTCGTATGTTTGGGGCTGTCCGGATATCACAACTACGGCCATTCGCGACGAGAAGCCGCTTCGAGTAACGACTAATCTTGCGTTCGGCCTACGAGCGTTTCGCCTGAGAGATGCTTCGCAATCTCTTTGGGTTGATGCGGTTTGCATAAACTAGGACAACTATGAGAAGGGCCAGCAAGTTCCAAGACCGGATAGGGTCTTTGACGAAGCTAAATGTGTGCTATGCTGGCTCGGTAAAGATGATGATATCGTGGCTGAAGATTGTTCCGCTTGATTTGTGATACGGCAAGGGTTATGGAGCAGGAGTTCCATCCCGGATAGACTGTGAGTAATCCTTTTAATGATTCGAAGCTCAAGGGCCTGCCAAAGACCGCTGAAAATTCGAGGTTTGTCGCTCAGCTCTTTGACCTCACCTGGTTCCATCGTGTTTGGTAGGTTGTATTTTTGTGGCCGTGATCGCTTAAAGGATGAGACTAATGACTCTGGATCTGCAGGATAATCCAAGAAGCAGCAGTTAATGCCTACGAATATTACCTCTACTGGGGTATATGTCATATTAAATTCTACGAGGCCTTCTCAGATCACGCACCGGCTCTTAGGAATGGAGTGAGGGTTGGTAAGCTCATCATACATGTGTTCATAGACACCATGCACACATTCAATAGCCAAGACACTTGGAGAGACAAAATCCTCTTCAAATCGATCTTGGATGACATACGCCCCCCACAAAAACAGCTAAGGAACTTCTGGAAAACCCGAGAGAAGCGCCTTAGGTTCTTGCGATGGTCATACACGACTCACCAAAGGAGCTTGAGGATGAAACAATCCCAACTTGGGTTCCTCGATGGAACTCCTTCTATAATGCCGGTGCTCAATCGGTACCTCTTATTACGACTTACGAATATCGCTACTAACCCATCAGAGCGAGCATGGGGAGCCCTACGTTCAGCTTTACCTTCCTGTCACCTAATGTCCTGTCTATCATAGGCTGGAAGTTTGATACCGTTGTCTCAGTATCATCGAAGTTTGAATTTGTCGATATCCATAGTGACTTTCAGGACTGGAGACCTTACCTACGCGAGAAGAATATTCTTCCTATCGAAGCAGTGTGGCTCTAGCTTCTTCGAGAGACTTCTGGATCTCCCGAAGAGTTGACTGGACCTTTCAGCTGGACTCTGGCACGTGGAAGTCCTGCTCCCTAAGATCATACTGATGACTTGTTATTCTATGGTGAAATACTTCGCAACAAGGCAGGAACAGTGGCCGACTCTCCGTTTCATCGGCGTAGTTCCAGAAAAAGCGATCTTGCCAATGCTGTACGGGTATTTCAATGATCAAGAGATCGTCGTCTAGTGATGACAACTCAAGGGAGAATGACATTGGTCCCATTGATTGCTCAGGCCGATGACTGTTTGTGTATCGTCCAAGGTATGAACGTTCCTGTTGTGTTCCGTGAGCTGACAAACGGGGTATTCCAGTGCGCCGAAGAGACATACTGCTCCGGGGTGATGGAAGGAGAACTCTTTACTCCAGAATCGCCTTATGCTCCGTAGTGGGAAGAGTTTCGTGTGCAGTGATAGAATGAGCCCGCAGAGTGTCTCATCTCGCGATCCCTTTATATGCGAACCCAATCCTTATCCATATGAGTAATACCAAGAGAAATTATTTCCCAAATGAATGCTCCTCAATTAAGACTGATATTTGGTCAAGGTTAAAGTTACGCAGGCCTGCCATGCCCCATGTGGGACGGTGAAGTGGTAATGTGGGGTAATTGATCAAAGCCCAAGTACTTCTCATGCGCAATATCCAACCAGACTCTTTGATCTCGGGTATACTCCAATCAAGACCGGCCGTAATCTGTGCTGTACTTCCGCCCGATAACGTTGCGCAGGAAGCGGTTTACCCCACAACTGCCATGACGATATCCCGGGACGTCATCTCCGCACACTTTGCCGTGTTGGGAATGTTGAAACGACCCGGACCGGACGTGGCCGCCGGCCAAAGCGAGGGTTGCCGTATGTAGAAGAACGTGATTAACGATTCTCGTGATTCTACGATATCGGAGGCGCGGGGTGATTTACCCAGTCTGATAACTCTGCCTGAGACACTCACTTTATGCTCTCACTTAAGATCTGGGGCCTCCGCATCTAACAAAGCTAATTGAAACCTTACTCATTTGCCCTTCGAACATCACTAAAATGACGTCGGATACTTACAGAGTTGCTGTTCTTACCGTATTTTACCCCAGATATCATTATGCCTGACCTTGAATACTAATCCCAGCAGTCATCACAGGAGCACAATGCCAAGCCCACGTTTGAGATCAAGCAGCTTCCAAGACCCGTTCCTGGTCCCAATGAAGTCCTCATTCGCCTTTCACTCACCAGTCTATGCGGCTCTGATCTAGGTATGGCCTTGGGCCATATGGGACCCGTGGGGAAGATCCTTGGCCACGAAGGCGTAGGCAAGGTCGCAGAGCTTGGTTCCAATATTGCCAACTTGGACCCCAGTGTTCAAGTTGGCCAAAGGGTTGGAATAGCGTGGATCCGTGATATTTGCGGAACCTGCAGCATGTGCGTTGACATCGCCAACGAGGGCGAGACGCGATGTGTCGAAGCCTTGCACTCTGCCAAAGCATATGATGGTACCTTTGCCGAGTATACGCTTGTGCCATTGCGATACCTGGCTCGTATTCCACCAACCTTCGATGACATCCCCGATGAAGAGATTGCACCAATTCTTTGTGGAGGAGTTACAGCTTACAAGGCTATCAAGAACTGCAACCTCACACCAGGCCAATGGGTTGTCATTTCCGGCGCAGGCGGCGGTGTAGGAGCTCTGGGTGTTGCGTATGCTCACGCTATGGGCTATCGAGTCATTGCTGTTGACGCCGGTCCTGGGAAAAAAGAATACTGCAAAGCTCAGGGCGCTGAGCATTATGTAGATGCTTTGTCTGGCGTAGATGCGGGAAAACAAGTCAAGGATCTGACTGATGGTCAAGGAGCTAAGGCCGTCGTCGTCACCGCAACTGCTGCTGCTGCGTATCAGAAGGCGTTCGACATGCTGGGACCGTTCGGCACATTGATGTGTGTATCGATTCTTCCAGAAGAGGC